CGGACACAGCCACACTCCCTCATGGGTAGGTTGTCACGGCTGCTTTCAGGAGGCACCAGCCAAGCCGGGCGGCTGTGACAGAGGTCACATGGCTTGGGACATCTAAATATGTACCATGTGGCCTTTCGCAGAAAGGCCGGCCCCACCCTGAGCTACGGGGAGGGAGACAGGACCTGTAGCCTGGCCGAGGGTGGAAGGTGGGCTGAGCCCCTTTAAGATGAGGAGGCCTTGGCGGGCAGCTGTCTCTCCCTGCACCTGCCCCCCGGTCAATTGTTTATTTCTGAGGGCTGGGCTTTCTAGATCTATAAAGACTTCTGCTTCACCAATGACCCTTTGGTATGACTTCCCAGCTTTTTGTTTTCTCAGCTCTCTCTTTCTTAGTGGTATGAGGATATGGGCACTAGGAGCTCCCTAAAAGAGCTTTGGTTCTCACTGGATAACACCTTGGGTGGTGTATTTATCTTTCTTTTTTTTTTTTTTGGTAACTAACTTGTTGTGCATATTTTAGATTTTGCAGAAATGAAATTCTGAGGTCTAGCTTTCCTCTGCCAGCTGACACTGGAAGATGACGTATTGGCTGTAGAACACGGTCAGTAAAGAGCATGTTTACAAAAAGCCCTTGTATTTCCTTTCCTCTTGTGAGGTGAAGGATTTGCAATTACAGTGACGGACCACAAGAGGGAGTATTTCCTCCTATTTTCTTCAAATAAACTAAGAAGCATACATAGTTTATGCTTTTTTTTTCTTTTTGTTCAAGATGACCAGTGAATAAAATTACATAAGAAGAATGTGATATTTTGTAAATAATTTCATTCAGTCACAAAGGTGAGTCAACAATATTTTGTACACCTGCAAGAAGCCAGGCACCCCTGAAGGATGTGTATTAGTTCACACTACACCCCATGTCTTTACAGGCCAGTTGTATAGAAAAGGGCTGGGAATTCTGGGTGATGTCTTCAAACAACTAATTCCAAATGGGCTCATGTTGAACCAGGCTTTCAAGAAATAACGACCGCATCTAGTTTTCAAGGAGGAATGCAAATACCAGCAAAGACATGTTAAATGTCTTCGGGTCTCACACCAGACCGTTCAAACTTCCTCAGGCAGCGATGTCTTCACTGGCAGCAAATTCTGCCGCACGGCAGTCCAGGGGTCACGTGGACTGAGATCTGAAATCCAACTTCAGCTACCTTCTGGCATGGCATAGGAGCACAGGCTTCCAGTTGCTTCAGGGAAGCCGCTGAAGCTGCGGAGGAATACCTGATAACAAGCCGAAGCACAGGACCAGAAACCTAGGACTAAATACTACTTAAGAGCTGAAAATTGTGGCGACAAATATTTGGGGAAAATAAGGAATTTATTACCTCACATAGTTGAAAAGTCCACAGATCAAGCTTCGTTTCCTCTCTTTCCCTGCTTGTGCTCAGGATCCTGAAACGGGCTCAGAGCTGATGCAGAATTCTGTGTTTAAAAGGCATGTGGGGGATGCACGTGTCTTCCCACTGAAAGTATTGTACAACAGCATCCAAACTGGCTTTCAGGGCCCTCCGGGATCTGTATGTTCAGGTTTCCTGTCATCTCTTCAAAATAGCCTCCCAGCCTCGCTCCCTTTGTCTTACATCTCAGCCACACTGGCCTCTCCGAGCCAAGTCACTTCTCTCCAGACGCTCCGCCCCCACTCTGCACTAGGTGGCTCTGTCACCCCTCAGGTGTTTGCTCAGGCCAGGCCCTGCTCAGCCTTCCCTGACTCTACGACAGGTGCACCTGCTCCCCCCTCCCCGCCCCGACTCACTCCGTCCTCAGCACCCATCAATCACACACTGCCCTCATTCCTTGTCTAGCAGAGAGGACAGACCCATCTGTCTTCCTAACGAATGTAAGCTCCACAAGGCAAGGACCTTATTTTTATAGTTCACAGATGTACCCTCGGTGCTTAAATAACAATAAATATTTACAGGATAAGCAAATTGCTTTAAAAATCAAGCAACACAGAAATTTGTTCAGAGGAAAGCAAAAGTATTTTTTAAATCCTCTGCGATGCCACTCCCCATATGCGGTCACTGTTCCCATTTCAGCAGTGCTGCTCCGCGCCTTGCCTCTGGACATGGAGGTCACACAGATACGGTTTTTAAAAAATGCAATGACACTATACACTGTTTGTCACTTTTTCGATTTTAATGTATTTGTACTTGAATTTAACAACAAAATACCTGAAATGAAACTGAAGAAATTCAAAACCATCACATTTTTATTCAGAAGACATGGTTTTTTAGTTGCGCCTAGTAGAGCTTTCTAAAACTAAGAAACATTGTGAAAAATATAGAGGCTTGAATCAGTTTTGTAACTACATGTTCCGATTGGAGGCCGTGTCTATTGTTTTTACAAATATCCTGACATCCATCACATTCTATCCCGTAACTGAAACCCCGCAACTGATGTTTCTGTTTTATATGTAAGTAAATTAAAATCTCTTTTCATTATTTATTTTTCCCATTAACTTCTTTATTACCAAGTTTTTACTTTGCATAGGCTCTTGATTGACTGGATCTTTGCAGAAGGAGACCTTTTCATAAGGGCTTTCAGCTATTTTTTTTTCCAGTTGAGGCTCATCAGGCTTGACCTTTATCAGCACCAGCCCGGCTGTAATATTTGGCTGGTGCTTTTGTTCTCAGCCTTATGTAGGTATTGCACACTGCCATGGTCTGACATTGCATGTCACAGGTAAGTCCGAGGCCATTGTCATCAGTCCCATTCTTCTGTCTGAATGTGAATGGGATTCTTTATCCTTGATGTTTACAAACGTTACCAGCTTAGATGCTGGTGTTACTCCGTCCTTGTCAACTTTTGTTGCCCTGGGTTACAGTATCCCCACGCCTCCCTTGCAGGGGTCACCCAGCCTTAGCAAGTAGTCTCCCTTCTGTGGCCTTACCATGCTGCTACCTCCTCCCCCCACACCCCCGCCCTCCAATGTGCTGCTGCTCATTCCAGCAACTTTAGGTCCAGCCTCTCCTGAGTGAACACTTTCTCCAGCCCAGTCCTCAGGGGAGTTCAGGTGAGCAGCCACTTCCATGCCATGCAACAGTATCCCTTGCATGACACCTGGTTCCGAGTTAGCACTAATGCTGTGCGACAGTCTCACACCCCGGACACTGAGCCACTAGGGGAAGGACGCTCCTTTCATAAGCACACGACTGACCAGCAATAAAACCCAGAGTTCTCGCTGGTCGGATGGATGGGTGCGGGCAAATTATGGGGCGGTCAGTAAACAAGGAAAGTGTAAACTGATCGGCTGAGCGCTCTAAGTCTTTAAGGAACAGCAGCCGGCAGGTGGAAAAAAAGCGTTATTAAAGAGAAGCCTGCAAGTGAGCTGGAGGGAGCTTCCTAACGCAGGTGCTAAATATCCAGGAGAGCCCCGTCCGCTGTCCCACGCCTCGCATCTTGTCTGCCGAGGCGCGCGCACACGATCACTCCCGGTCCCATCTCCGGACACCTTTAGCTCGCGTTGCCTTCGCAACCCACTAGCGAGTGGAAGCAAAACTATCCCGCGGATCCGGCTGCCGGAACTGCTCGGGCCGGGGGCGGAGCTAGTTGTGCCCAGGAGGGGCGGGGCTAGTTGTGCGCACGCCTGTGGCGGGCGGACGGACGGGCGGAGCCTCAGGTGCGCCTGCGCGGTTGGCGAACCTGCGTCTCCGCCTCCGCGGTCAGGGTCCCGGACCCGGGACCTCAGGCGGGATGGTGCGGCAGTGTCAGGTAAGGGTGAGAGCCCCTCCTGGACAGGGGCGCTCCACTCCGTCCCTCTCCAACCCCGGCACCCTCCCCTTCGAGCACCGGGCGGCTGCGATCCTTCCCGACCTCGGAGTCTGGGCCCCAGCGCAGGTCCCACCCAGTTCCCGGCGCCCGGATCCGTCAGGCACCCTTGACCTTTGCCCCTGTTTGAGGGTATTCGTCTGGACGAAGACAAGTTTTATTTTAAAAGACACTCATTCTCTCTCTTTTCTTTCTTTCTTTTGTTTCAGAGAGTGTGTACCTAGGTCACTTAATTTTATTTTTCAATTGCAGTTTACATTCCAAGTTACTTTGCGTTAGGTTCAGGTCTGTAGGTAGTGGTCAGACAGTCATCTCCTTTAGCGGTCCCCAGCCTTTTTGGCACCAGGGACCGGTTTTGTGGAAGACGCGGGTGGGGAGGGGGAGCGGGCAAAGGACACAAGAGGTGGGGCTCAGGTAAGTTTGCTCGCGGCCGCGGGCTTGGGACCCCTGATCAACTTTACAAGCTGATCCCCGCGAAAGATACGCCCTTTTGGCATTCTTGTGACGGGTTCTCTCTGTGCATTTGCAAACCTCCGATTGTTTGGTAGAGAATAGCGCGCACCGAGGTCAGGTGGGCCCTATCACCCGGCAATCCCTTAGATACCAGACTGGCCACGGCAGATTCGTTCCGGCAGGAAATGCCGGTTTAACCTGTATCTCAGACGCACCATCTTTGATATAAATGTCGGGGGTGGGTCAGTTGCATAACTTGGCCCTAGCCAGCTGGGCTCAGTGCGGCACAGACTGGATTCAAAGGTCAGGTGACAGCCTGATAGACATGTTTTTCACTTTTTTTTTTTTTTGTAATTTACTTGAGTAATTCATCTCTTCACTTTGACACGTGTTCACTGCTAGAATTTCATGTCAGCTGAAGACCCATCTCGCTGCACTGACTCTAGCGTTAGGGCTTTAGCTTCAGCATGATGACGTCTGTAAAACTAAAGAGAATTCCAAAATTAGTGTGAATTGTGCTTCACACACAAACATTTTTCACAATTGGAACTTGGAGATACACTGACATTTTTATGGGCGACTTAATTTTCTCTAACTTACAAAATTTGTCTTGGATAAAAACCACTGCATTTGGAAAACAAAGCTCAGCGCCGGCAGCCCGGGAAGGACTGTGAGGCGCCATGAAGAGCATTCTCTCCCTTGCAGGTGGAAGTGCTGTACTTCGCAAGGAGTGCTGAAATCACGGGGATTCGCTCGGAGACCATTTCTGTGCCACAGGAAATAAAGGCGTTGCAGCTGTGGGAAGCAATAGAGGCTCGACACCCAGGGTAGTTAAACGAAGACAGAGATTAACCGTTTGTAATATTTAAAAAATGTGTAAATGAATAAATGATAAAGTTAAAAAACAATTTTGATTTTCTTAACGTCAGAAGGGTCATTAGTTCTATTTCTCTGGAACTACACTGAAAATGAAAATTCTAGTATTTAAAAATGCACTACTCCTTAAGGACATTTAAAGGTATTTTACTGAAAAAAAAAAAAAAAAAACAGCTGAGATACTCCCAAAGGGACATGATTATATTCGCTTTTGTAATTTGCAAACTATTGGAAATGTAGATTTTGCATTTTTATAATGTTAAGTGAACTTGTTACAAATCCTGTTAAAAATATGTGCTTTAAACTTGAAGTCAAAATAGAAATGTCTAAGATTAAAAGAAAAATGAGAGGTAAACCCTAGCCACTGCTGAATTTGTGTTTTGCAATAGTTGGTTTTTCCTGGTATTGAAATTCCTGGTAATTTTACTGCTATTGTTCCTACCGCAAGTTCTTTTTTGGAACAAATGATAAAAGTGGCCTATTTGAAGGTGTTAGGAATATTAGTAGCGTCACAAAAGTCCATATAAATGTTTAACATGTAAAAGATACTCCATAATGTTTGTTCAAAAGAAAAAACTGCCCTGGCTGGTGTGGCTCAGTAAATTGAGTGCCAGCCTACGAACCAAAGGGTCACTGGTTCAATTCCCAGTCAGGGCACATGCCTGGGTTGCAGGCCAGGCTCCCAGTTGGGGGCGCCTGAGAGACAACTACACATTGATGTTTCTTTCCCTCTCTTTCTCCTTCCCCTCTCTAAAAAGAAATAAAATATTTTAAGGAAGAGGAAAAATACTTATTTTTAATTTTAAGTTGCTCTTAAAGTGCCCTAATAATCAATGACACATGGTGGGACCTTTGTCCCACTTTACCTGTAACCTCTAACCTGCTGGGAGATGGCTGGCGTAGGGGGCACTTCCAGGGTGCACTTAGGATACTTGTATACTCAGAAGGGTCCCGAATGAGGAATTTTTCCGTTTTCTTTTTTTTTTTTTGGACTGGGTCTGAATGTTGTCTTCAGTCTAGTTTTTTTGTTTGTTTAATTTCCCAAGACACACATCATCCAGTAAGGGGTTGTTAGCAGTTTAGTGTGTTTTTTGTAGTGAAAATACATGTTCTTCAGGGGACTGTCCTTTCTCTGTAGCAGGTGTTACCTCCACGAGCACCTCCGCAGGCACCGCTTCAGGAAGTGATGTTTTGTAGTATCTTTCATGGCAGCCAAGGCATTTGCCGTCTGACGCGGCACTGACACCTCTTGTCACGCCTGCTTCCTTCCAGGTTGGCTGATGTCAGAAACCAGGTGATCCTGGCTGTCCGTCAAGAGTATGTCGAGCTGGGAGATCAGCTCCTCCTGCTTCAGCCAGGAGACGAAGTCGCCGTCATCCCCCCCATCAGTGGAGGGTAGCGCTCTGGAGCCCACCGAGTATGTGAGACCCGGTTTTCTGCCCTGGTCTTCAGGAGAGGGGTCAGCAGGCGGTGGGACCTGCGTGCAGTTCACTTTTGCCGCATGGTCTCTGTGAGTCTGTCTGCGGCAGCTCCCGGTTAAAGCGCAGCCCTCCGTCGGTGCCCGCGGACTCTCACATGCCCAGGTGTCGTGCTGACATCAGCTCCCTGTAGGCGGTTGATGCCGGTTGGATGTGTTCATCCTGTTCACTTAACGTGGCTTGTCAACCTTTCACTGTGTGCCAGGCACTGTGTCGGGTGCCGGAGCACTAAGGTCCCTATTTTTCAGGGGGGAAAACCGAGACTTAGAGAAACTGCAAAACTCGTCAGTAATCACGGAGCTAGTAAGTGGCAGAGCCAACAGAGAGCTCAGACTATTGGACTCTCTGTGTACTTTTTCACGAATGTGTTTATCGGTCTAGGTAACAGCGCTCCTGGGCAGAAATGGGGAAAAATTGCAGAACCAGGAAGGAACAGGGTCGCTGCGCCTACATCCATGTCCAGGGCCTTTGTGTCCAAGTGAAGAACAGCTGTATTTTCACAGCTGCGTTGCAGGTGGCCCCAGGACTCTGCCGTGTCTCTGTCTTCCCAGGCAGCGCAGGCCACGTCTGAGTTGGGTGACATGTGAGGGCATCTGTTGGGACAGTCCAGACAGACAGAATGAGCTGTCTTTACTGTTGGCCACAGAGTAAATACTGTAGAAATGAGCAGTCGTGCCCAGTGAGAAACTTGGCTAGGTTAGGAGTGAAGGAAAACTGTTTGAATTTGTTAGGGTTTTTCTCCAGAATCAGGAGTAAATATCATCCTCAGTGGTACAACCTTGGTTTCATTAAAGGAAGGAGCAAGCCGAGGGCACCTGAGTATTTTTCCTCCCTCTTCTCCCCGCCCCCTGCTGGAGCGCGGTGCCTGCAAAGTGAATAAAGACTGGGAAGCAAATGCCCAGCGTGTCCGTGAGACTGGAGCCTTCTGAGTCGTACTGTGTAGAAATACGAGAAGAATTCCTTGTTGGACAGGTGTCTGTCTTATTCGGGAGCTGTGGTCACCTTATCACCTGCACAATTTTAGAAAAATGCTATTTGGGGGGCTTTGGAATTTATTCAGAAAACGATGGGCCGCTCTTGAAGTTGCCAGTGTGTGATTGGAGCTGCTCTTTGGAAGGATTAGGAAGTTTACTCAGCCCCCCGGTGGGTTGTTGGAGGGGGTCTGAGGGGCCTGGAGGTGTGTCGTTTTGGAAACTGTGTCCTCATGGAGTCGCGCTGTGGGAACATGGTGCCGTGTGAAGTTCTCAGACTGTGTTCGGGTTACCTGCATCTCACTGCCAGAGGGGGCGGAGGGGGCCAGGCGGCGTGTGCAGGAGTGGAGCGTCGGGCATCCGTGGTGCCGGGGTGCTCGCTGGTCCCTCTTCCAGAGCCGTGCAGATGGGGGAGCAGTGCGGCGGGTTTAGTGAGGTGCCCTGGTTGGAGCCAGCGTGAGTGCACCCTCGGCTCCTGCCAGCCTGCTCTTGGGATGTAGGGTTCCATCCAGGCTGCCGGTGGCCCGTGCGCTTCCACCTGCCTGCCCGGCCTCCGCCCGTCTGTCCATCCTGCCCCTTGTTCACGGGGCTACGAGCCTCCCCGTAGTTTCTGGGGCACACCATGCTCTTTCCTGTCCCAGAGCCTGGCCTTTGTCATTCCCTCTGTCTCTGCTGGTCGGTGGCGCGGGCAGGTGTGGACTGTAAGCATCAGCTCTAGAGAGAGGCCTCCCTGTGTCCTCTCACCTTAAAGAACCCGGCCCGGCCCCCGGCCCTCTCTGAGCCTTACTCGTAATGCTGCCCATCTCTTGGTTTCCCTCATTCTGCAGGGGGCCCCCCCGAGTGTGGGGACCAAGTCTTTGTCCTGGCTGTATCGGGAGCGAGCGTGCACCAAATGCTGAATGAGTGAAGAGAGGAGAGCTGGTGAAGGGCCTGCAGTTCTCCTTGTATTTCCTGGGTGGCTTCGCTGAGTCCCTGTGGGGGGCCATGTGTGCGCTCCCCCCCCACTGCAGTTCTAGGGGTGCTGCGGGTGGAGAGTGGTTATGGGGGAGGCGCCTGTGGATGAGGGTGTCGAGGTCGGGACGGCGCCCTGATGGGAGACAGAGTGGCAGTTCCAGAACTGCGGAGAAATTGGCATGTGAACGAGATCACGTCTTAAGTGATCGTGTTAAAGGTAAATTCTCATTTCTTTCACACTTGATTCATTTGGGATATTGATAAATAGTACCGCTTCGCCAAAACCCTACACTGATTTTTATCACGCAGATCGAACCGTGCCTCCTAACTCAGCTCATGTAGGAAACTGTGCGTTGAAACGCAGTCTGTAAGTTGGCGTTTTGCCCCTGTTACCACTGTTAAGGTTTATTACTGTCTCATTCCTAGGAAAGACATGAACGCAGCTGAAGAGAAATGTAAAGATATAGTAAAATTCACCACTGAGAAGCTGTCTGTCGAAGATGCCTCGCGGTTGGTGACCTCCCCCTGCTGCGGTGCAGTGTCCCTGTTTGTGGGTGAGTTCGGGGGACGTCCCTGAGTTGCTGATGGCTGAGGCAGCAGAGGCCGCAGGAGCTTCCAGAAACGCGGGGTTCTTGCAGGATTTTCAGAGACGGAGCAGTGAGCCGTGGTGACCCGTGGGTAGAAAGGGGTTCAGCTCCTGTTCAGTTTTAGTAATCTTTAGATTAACACGTTACAGGCATAATCAGAGCAGGGTAGGAGTCATTATTAGCAGAGAAAATTCTGTATTTTCCAAACACTGAGGGAAACACGGTGATGGTAATAACTTCAGGATAATCCCGGGACCATAATGTTTTTCTCCCCTTTTTTTAATCCTCACTTGAGGACGTTTTTTTCATTGCTTTTAGAGAGATGAAGGGAGAGAGGGGGTGGGGGGAACATTGATTGGTTGCCTCTCACAAGCTCCCCTTCTGGGGATCGAACCCGCAACCTTTTGGTGTGCAGGACGATGCCCCACCAGCCGAGCCTCGCCAGCCAGAGCCATAATATTTTCCTCTGAGGTACCAAATGCTGCCGGGAAAGAAATACGTCCCGGTTTGTACATGTCTCCATTGGCTTGCTTGGTCGGTGCATTTTAATTTCTTATCTTTGTGAAAATTAGCTTTTGTTTTTCTCATCATTTTCATTTTTAGAATGTTTCAAAGTAATTTTTAGACAAATTGGTATGCTCCTTGTCTAATCAAAAATAACCCTTTTTTGTTCTATGAATGTGCAATTTTTATTATAAGGAGAAACCTTAGTTTAATTTTTTTTTTCTTTAGGGACCACAAGAAACAACTTCGAAGGTAAAAGAGTTGTTAGCTTAGAGTACGAAGCCTACGTGCCGATGGCGGAGAACGAAGTCCGCAGACTCTGCAGGGACCTGCGGCGGAGGTGGCCCGTCAGGCACGTGGCCGTGCTCCACAGACTCGGGTGAGGCCACCTCGCCAGCCGAGGGGCTGCGCGTCGTCGCTGCTGCCGCCTGCCCCTGTGCCGGCCGTGTCCCTTGGGACACATGGGGACACGTGGGGACACGTGGGGAGCTCCTGGTGCTGCGACAGTGCCCAGGCGTGTGGGACCCTGGGGCCCCGAGCTGAATAAATAGCTGGTGCTCATGTGCCCAGGTCCTGAGGCCTTTTAACAACCGTTTTTGTCATCTGGATTCTTTATATAACAACAGCCTATTAAGAAAAACAATTTCTAATGTAAATGCCTCTGAAGTCATTAAATTAGTTTCCCTTTATGTACCACTAAGAAGAGTGGAGTTTGGGGCTTTAAAAAGAGCCCAGCGATCAAGACCGTGTGTGTCATAGTCAGTCAGTTACTACTGTGTTATCGATGACTGATTTCATGAATAATTAATGTTAGCGATTCCATTATGTACTGTCACTATTCAATATCTGAAAGTCCGTGCTGCACTCGGCACTAGGTGACCGCTTCTCCAGCTCACCCTGCACCTCATCTGAGCAGAGACGCGCCGAGTCAGTGCAGGGCCCCTTTCCTCCCGCTGCTGTCGCTCGGGTCTGGCGGGTGGGCGGGTGCTCACAGCGCAGCCGCAGCCTCAGCGGCCCCTCCGCTCAGTGCCGCGGGGTAAGTTCTGTGCTCCGTCCATTTTCCGATGGGGCTGGGTGTTCGGGTACAGGAGCAGTGGGTGTTAGTTCCAAGAGTGTGTCTCTGGATATTTTTTACGTGCAGTGGAGTCTTTAACTTGCCGCTTCAGAGAAGGTGGTGACCGCCCCCTGTGTCTCGCCACAGCCTAGTGCCCGTGTCGGAAGCCAGCGTCATCATCGCCGTGTCCTCGGCCCACAGGGCTGCGTCCCTCGAGGCCCTGAGCTACGCCATCAACGCTTTGAAAGCCAGGGTGCCCATATGGAAGAAGGTGCGTTGGGAAGGTGTCCGTTTTATGTGTGGTTTTTCCCTGGGATTTTTGAGGGTGGGGTAAGAGCACATTCACATCGTGTGTGTACTCGTGGGTCTTCCTGACTCTGTAAAATCTCGTTTTCTTTATCTGTGAAATAGGGTGTTTGCGTAACAGCTTTTTTCCAGGGTGGTTTAGGCCTGAAAAGTATACCCCCCAAGTGCGTGGCCCAGCGTCGGCCCCCACAGGGGGAAATGCCTCACCCGGACTATTGCTCTGGATGAGGACCCTCTGGAATGCAGGGGTCTTCTCTTTGGAGAGTGGGATAACATGTAGCTACTGAGGCTAAAACAGATTCCTCGAGGCAGAAGAACGTCCTAGAGCTTCACCCCCTGGACAGGAAAGGGTGGGGTGTGGCCTCCTCGGAGAAAATGCGCAGTGAGCGCATTCAGAGATGCGTCATCTAGGACGCCGTGCCGTGTTTTCCGTCTGCACGTCCAGCCCACCCGTGAGCGCCGACAGTCCTCTGGGTCAGCAGAGCCCCCAGGGGACATGGGAGGCTGCCTCATCTCTGCCCCGCTTGCGGTGACAGGGACAGTGGGGCTGTGCTGTGTGTCCAGGCGGTCGGCTTGCCCGCGGCCATGAAGCTGTCACAAAGCTTGGAGTGTGTGAGCTGCTTGGCAGAGCGGGGACCGGAGGGACAGAGCCTGTGGGGAGGCCAGCTGGACCCCGAGTCGGGGTCTGTGGGGTTTGGTGGTCCTGCTTCCTGCAACAAAACCTCGGCTCATTGCCATAAGGGTCAGCGGGGGGTTAGCAGACGTGACGTATGGAGGGACACTGTCTCAGGGCAGCTTGGCCTAGGCTGCTGTGTGCCGGGCTCCCCGGTGCCCATAGAGTTGTCACGGGTCCCTGGAGAGAGCTGTGGGGGCAACTTTGCCTGCAAAGTCTCCCCCATCCACCACGGTTGAAAGTGAAACTACCAAGACGTGATCTGCTTGGGGAGGAAAGGTGGCCGATCCCTCAAAGGAGAAGGGCCAAGAGCCCCTTCCTCAAGGGGCTTTTATTGGGTTCGTTTGCACAAGAATACAGGTAAGGATCAAACAATAGACAGCATTTAAAGAACTATGAGGGCTTATTCTCAGTCAGATGGCTAAAAAGCCATAAAACTCTGAGGAACAAACTTCTTGCTTGGACCCTAATCATTTAAATGAGAGCATTCTAAACAAAGCAGGTTTCACAGGATTTTACATATTCTTCCTTAGGCCTGATCACCCGGAGAACCCGCCCTTTCCAGCACAGGGCTGCACCGCCTTTCCCATCACAGGTTTTTAGGCTTAAGTGGATTAGAGCGAGGAAGCGCTTCTCCCAGATGGAAATGGGGACTTGGGCTATGTCACATAGCCGGGTGGGGGGGGGGGCGAGAGTCCATTGCTCTTTGCTGCAGCCCCCTGAGTCCTTCCATGATGGCCTCCAGGTGATCGAGTCTGACTTAGGTTGCCCCTCTGTGAGGGGTACCCGTCATGGACGTGGACCATGCTTTGGGGGCTGGGGGGGGCGTGGAGCAGAGGCAGCGTTTGCTACCAGAGACAAGCTTTGTCTCCATAGTGGCTCACATTCCGGAGGTTGCTCACTCAGCCTTAGCCATGGGGGGCAGTTACAACTCCTGAAACCAGGCAGAGCGGTTCCCAACAGAGAGCAGGGCCAGAAAGCGTCCCAGAACAAGTTGCAAGCCTGGGGGCAGGGGCAGAGGGACCACCAGCCCACAGAGAGCCGATGAGAGGGGCAGCCCCCCGTTATTTGGGTGCAGGTTTCAGAGAAGGACCGATTTGGGTTCCTTCCTGCAGAACAGGAACCGACTGGAGAGTAAGATGAGAAAGTGCTTCTTACTCCTCTGCCTTCTAGAAACTGCCTCAGTGCTTGTCTGGTTCCAGTCGTGGCCCAGGCCTGGAGAGCAGCAGGGGAGGGGCAGGAGGGAGGGCACCCGCTTCTGGAGCAGCCCGCCCCGTTGGGGACCTTCTGCAGGTGGCCCCGACTTCCCAGCTGGCGGAGCCACCCCTTCCGCCCTTGGAGCAGCGTGTTCAGAAAATGTGGGAGTGGGATGAGTGTGTGGAAAGAAAAAGTGTTTACAACCAACCCCCACCCACTCTCTCTGTGTGACCTTGCCCAGACTGTCCCCTGTGCTGTTGCCAGGGGAACTCAAGGTCTGTTCTGCCCGGCGGTCACCCCTTGCCTTGTTAAGGCTTCTCACCTGCCGTTTCTCCTGCTGGGCTGGGCGTCCGTGAGCGGGAACATGTTCCTCCTTTCGCTGCGCTCAGTCCTCACCTAAACGCCCGCTGCGTTGCTGCAGGAGGAGCGGGTGTGAGTAGCTGTGATACGCATTTGCCTTCATTGTGCAGATGCGTCTGTGCTTATTTAAATGCTTTGTTTTGAACACCTGTTTTGCTTCTGTTTTAGGAAATGTATGAGGAGTCATCATCGTCCTGGAAGAGAAACAAAGAATGCTTCTGGGCCACCAGCGAGTGACTGGCGTCCGTGTTTAGAGCGCTAACGCTTACATTGGGTAAACTCATCTCCGATCCTGTTTCCAGTTCTCTTCTGCAGAAGTCAAGCGAGTTTAGGATGAGGTTCTGTGCCGGAACTAGAGACAGGACCGGCTTCGGGGGGGTGGAAGAATGACTTCAACGCAAGGGAAGGCATCCGTGGCAGACGGATCATTCCGTGGCTATGTTCTCCTTGTTGCTGGACTCACTGCCCTGTGGCCCCTTCCCACTGAGCTTGTCCCGGAACTCACCCCACCCCCCTCCCAGCCTGTGACGTCACTGTTACAGGAAGTGTCACGGGAGTGGTGGCAGGACTGCAGGGTGTACAGAGTCATTATCTGAGAGTCTCCTTGTATTTTTAGAATTTCTATATTTAAAAAATAAACCAAATAAACACATGATTAACAACGTTTAAAAGCAGTATTTTTCTCTTTTTTAAAATTAAGTAATAAGCTCTGGCTGGTGTAGCTCAATGGATTGAGTGCCAGCCTTCGAACTAGAGAGTCGCCGGTTTGACTCCCAGTCAGGTCCCATGCCTGGGTTACAGGCCAGGTCCCCAGTAGGGGGCGCACAAGAGGCAGCCACACACTGATGTTTCCCTCTCCTTGCCTGTCTCCTCTCTAAAAATAAATAATTAAAAAATTTTAAATTAAGTTGATAATGCTTAAAACATGCATTTTATAATAATGAAATCTGTAGTATTTCAGAATCTGTCACTTTACCATTACTTATCATATCTTCATTGTTACTTTGTATCAATACACAAATCAGCATGAAAGTGCTGTAACTCCGGGCACACTGCCGAGCACCAGGTTCCTTTGTGTTATGTTGGCTGATGCTTCCGACTCGACCCCCAACCGGTTCAAACGGAGTCACGTGGTGGTTAATTACAGCACCTGCAGGCAGTGCTCCCTCTGGCTGCCTGTGAGCACGGTCATCAGCTACATTGTGGACAAACAACCTTCTGCAAGATCTTTATACGAAGCAAAGGCCCAGCCTCTGCTGGGTCGCCTGTGCTGGCCTCACAGCTCCGTGTGCTGTAGGCCTTAGTCATCAGGCACTGACGTCACTTCCGGCAGCTGACACCACCTCAAAGATGGCATCATGTGCGTCGGGAATAGAGGCTGTCCTTTCCGACACTTAGGTTGGCGGTACTTTTGCCAACATCATTTGTTACCTCCAGTGAGACATTTTTTACATGGGAATCCATTTTTTTCAGCTCACGCCAAAGGCCTGTCGGCTGCCGGGCATCCCCTAGGGGTCCTTGTCCACCAACCCCACTCACCACGGGGAAGGTCTGCACCTCGTCTTGACCCGGGAGACACAGGACAGCCACGCTGGCACCAGCGGCCCCCGGTGAACCGGACCCCTTCCTCCGCCTGTCCAGAGGCGGAGCTGGAAGAGCCACAGGCAGACACAGCCCACCGACCACTCCCTTCCCCAGGGAGTGGCCCAGCCTGGCCCCAGCCACTGAATCAGTGCTGCTTCCTCCCTTCCACCGAACTCCAGCCCACCCGCCCCAGCCTGAGAACAGAGACAGTTCTAACTTCTAAAGGCACATTACCGTGGCCCTCCTGGCCGGCTGTAGCTATTCCCAGGATTCTGTACCCTGTCGTTAATGTGGTTATTATGTCACAGACGTGAACATCAGGTGTATGTGGATTTTGGGCTTTTCCATTCCCACGTTTCCTTCTCACATACCTCTTTATTGGAGGTAATTATCTTTTTAAGAAACAAAACACTCTTCAAACGTGTTTTTAAACACTGCGGCCTTCACGAAGGGGGCTGTCCTCTGTGTCTGGGACACACTGTTCTGCTCCTCAGTCTCCAGCGCCATTCAGGAGTGCAGTGGGGGGTGTGCTGGAGCGCTGGGCGCTCGCCCTGGGCCAGAGGGGGTCTCCACTGATCCCGATTTCTCAGGAGGGCGGAGCTCACTGGTGGTTGAGACACTGAGGGGCTGGAGGCGTCCTGACACGGCTCTCCCGTCTGCAGCTTAACTGCTGGAGTAATTAGTAGAAGAGCAGTTAAAAAAAACAAAACCCTCTAAGCAGGTTGCCTGTGGGGTTTCAAAGTCCTCCTGGAACTGTGGCCGGGTATCATAGCCAGGTGAGCTCCCTTAAGAAGAGGGAAATTGAAATCACTTACATTCTAAGTACCTTTCAATAGGTAGAAAAAGGAAGGTAACATTATCCTCTTTGACGGTAACAGCAGGTGTATTTTCTGAGTTTGCGGGAATCGTTGTCCCTTAGGTGGGCTGCTGAGGTGCATTCCCAGTAAGTTGTGAGCAGCCAGTAGCTTGGGTCTCGGTCCCAGAATCCTGCCTGAAGCTCCCGGAGAATCACAAAACGGACTCAGGGACACTTTTGAGTTCGGCCACTGCTGTCCAGGGCACCGCCGCTTCGCTCTGGAATGTCACTGCGGCCAGCTGACCTGTCCCCTGCTCTGTCTCCCACGTAGGTCATTTCATATCCTAGGGACCTCCTGGTAGCCAATCAGATCCTGGGACTGAGTCCTCACCTGGCCTCCAGCCCACCGGCCCACTGCACCCTACTCCCCTCTGACCTCCTCTGACTCAGGATCCCAGCTGGTACCTGGAGGCTGCTTCTGCCGTAGGATTGTTACAGACAGAGGTCCAAGGAGGGGGCAATATTTGGCCCACCCAGGGATGCTAAAAACTGCTACAGAGCAACAGGGGCCCCTCCCGAGGACAGTATACTAATGCCTACTGGGCTCGTCTGTCCATTGCCAGAGGAAAAACATCTCTCGATGCCAGAGATTTGTGAAAAGGAAAGGAAAGGTTTATTTAAAGCTATACACAGACTTAAAGCAGTGACCCAACGTCCCCATTAAGATATCAAAGTCCTTTAGGATAACCACAGACACACACCCACAGCACTTCCCTCTCCCCCATCCTAACTCCGGGTACCGTATCTCAGGAAAAGAAGCACACATCGTGTTTCATGCCGCTGGTACCGTCAGCTGTGTCGCCATCCGGGCAGGATCTCCGATTAATCCAAAGCCATGTGGCACCTTCTCATGGTCCACTGGCAAGAGTTCTTTCACCTTCTTCCAGGCAAAGTCTCTGCTGCTTCCCAGGCCACATGGCAAAAGGGAGCACCCCAAGGCCGTGTGGTCCTCTTCTACCAGAGCTGCGGGGTACCCACTCTGGCCAAAACCGCATGGTTCTTCTCTTCTCACATGGCTACGAACGTCCCCACTCTGGCAGAAGTGCGTGATCCTCCTCCAATGGCTGCTGCATCTGCGTTTTAAATCCCCACGCCAGTCCTCCTTTGCAGCCCCATTTCCAACTTTTCCCACAATTGGCTACACCTGCCAGGATTCCCTGTATCCTCCCAGCTTTACTGGGCTGCCGTATTCAGTCTGGGCAGGTGTGGCCCCATGGTGTAGAGCCAATCAACTCCAAGCTCTCACGCAGGTGCTGTAAGCAGGGGGTATTGCCTCCCAATTACATCCTGGGTGGAAGTCACTCCCTTCTCCTTGGCTCAAAACATGGCCACAGCTATTTAACATATCCATGAAACCAGTTAAAGGTTATAGATGTGTTAAATGACCATTCAAGGGGTTAGCTGCAAAACTGTTGCTGTGCAAACAAAACAGCTCTCAATGGCCCTGCTCCATGTGTCCCTTCCGCCAATTGCTGACACCTGTTTGGAGGGGGAAGGGGAGAGGACATATTATATGTCTTTCTAACATTTCTTGGACACCTTGAGCTCTGGACCCCATTCCAAATCCCTTTTTGGGGGGCCCCCCCTCTTGGCTGCGCCCTGTTACAGGACCTCCACCTGTCCTCGGAGAACGCCCTCCCAGTCGGCTCTGCATGTCATTTCAGTCCCTGATTGCCTGTCAGCTCCCTGGAGGGCCTCCTCCGGAGTCCTGCGGCCTTACTCTGCTTTATCTTTTCTCCTGGCGCCTCCCGCTGCCTGAGGGTGAGCTTCCTCTGTTAGTTCCTCTCCATCACGCGGCTCCAGCAACTCCGGAGGTCGGGACTTCTGCCTCGGCCACCAGAGTGTCCAGTCAACACATGGTCTCCAAAGCACTGTTGAGCCCTAACCTGTGCGGCTCAGTGGGTTGGGCATCGTCTGGAAAAGCAAAAGGTCGCCAGTTCGATTCCCAGTCAGGACACATACCTGGGTTGGGGCCTGGGGCCTGGTCCCTGGTTGGGGTGTTGTGTGAGAGGCAACCAATTGATGTGTCCCTCCCTTCTCTCAATATAAAGTGAAATAAATAAAGCCTCTAAAAAACAGAAGGCACTGCTGATGTGCCCCAAATGCCACGCCCAAGGCTTGTGCAGTAGCACCCTTTCCAGGTACACCCCTGGCCCTGGCCAAATGAACAGGTGGGCGGGTGCAGCCTTTCTCGTCCACCCCACCCTGCTCCCGCCCTGTGGTGGCAGCTCCCAGTCACTGAGCACCGGGCACCAGACAGCCCTCCCGGTGGGCGGGCCCTGGGTTGTTTCACACCCCGGCTGCTGTGCCCCAGGCCCCAGAGCGCGGGCTGCAAGCAGCTTCCGAGTTGGTGTTTCACTGTCTTTGGAGAAATACCCAGAAATGGGATTGCTGGGTCGTAGGGCAGTTTCATTGCAAGTTATTGAGGCCCCTCCACACTGGTTTCCACGGCGGCCGCCCCAGACTGCACCCCACCCACAGTGCACAAGGGTCCCCTTCCTCCACGTCCTCACCAGCACTTGTTTGTTGATTTATTGACGGAAGCCATTCTGCCAGGTGTGCGGTGTTATCTCACTGTGGTTTAATTTGCATCTCTCTGGTGAGTAGTGATGCTGAGCATCTTTTCACAGACCTGTTGGCCATCTGTCCATCCTCTTTGGAAAAATGGTAAGTCCCCTGTCCATTTTTTAATCGTGTTTTGTTTTTGATATTAAGATGTGTAAACTCCTTACCTATTTTGGATAGTAACCTCCTACTAGATGTATGATTTTCCCTAAATGAAACAAGTCAGCGAAAGAGAAATACAGTGGGATCTCACACATGGAATCTAAAAACACTCATAGATGCAGGAAACAAACTAGTGGTTACCAGAGCGGACAGTGGTTAGGGGTGGGTGAAACTGGATTTGGTCTATGATTCCCAGCTGTGTATGTCACATACGGGATGTAAAGTACAGCACAGGGAATATATTGTATAGTCACAGATGGTACCTGGGTTCAGGCAGTGGTGATTTGTGTGATGTAGTTAGGTAGCTCTCCCAGCAGGGGGCAGTAGAGCCTGGGCTACAGTAAGAGCAAAGCAAGTCAGATTTTAGTCGGTTACTTCTATTTTGCACAAGGCCAAAAAGTGCAGTTTGGTTCATAGCCATTTATTTTTAAAGTTAGGTTGCAGTGAGCTGTCAGTGGAAATTAGTCCCTGATTTTGAATAAGATGGTTTTCAATCTTTGATTGGTATCCTAACTTAGAATGTTAAAGGGTTATGGTGCAATGAGCTTTTAAAAATGCTCCTTGTAGTTTTAAAAACGATGTGGAATAAGACAAGGAATTAATTTTAGAAAAATGGATAAATATCAGGTTGTTCTCCAAGTGGACAGAGTGGGCACTTTAATGCAAGGCATTCACGGCCCCTCAGACCTTCTCTGTGGCAGAACCACCAGAAACTAATCTCCCTTTGGTCCGGAGTCATGTGTTCACGCACGGCACACACCAGACACGGCCCTGGTGGGGTGCACAGTAGGTCGCCCCAGGGACTGCGTGCCTCAGCAGGGGCGGGGGAGGGGTGCGAGAGGCCGCTGCACACCAGACGTCCGTGCCTGGATGTAGATGGTGACTCATCATCCTGACGACGGCCAGTCTGTGAGCCTGAGGTGCATCTTGTGTGACAGCCAGCACCTCCAACCCTGAAAAATGAAGTTGAAGCCCCCCTGCCTCCTCCTGAAACTAGAAAACACAACCATGCAGATGGCTGTCCTTGCATGTCGAGGCTGTTTGGCTGCCTTTTTTTTCCTCTCGACTTTATTCCAAGCCCACGTTGTCCAGAGACAAGCTGTGCTTCCGAGTGGTGCTTCTCGAACTTGATCGTAATAGGATTTACTTGAGTGAAATAGGAATTATCCAAGTTATCAGGGATCTTGTTAAACTTCCGGTTAGCATACAATAGTTCTGGGCGGCACCTGAGACTGCCCTTTGTAACTAGCAACCTGAGGACCAAGGCTGGGCACCTGGAGGCTAAGCTCTGCGGACGGCTCAAGGTCCCCACGGAACACCTGGCGTCCCTGCCCAAAGTGTGGGGGGAGACCCAGCCCCTCCCTTCTGCTGAGTGGAGAATGTGCGCTGAGTAGGTAAGACCAATAGAGTGAAGTACATAAGCCGTAAAATTCCAAATCCCAGGTCAGTAGCATCATTTTCAGAACCACTTTAAGGCTATCCAGGAACTTGGTGTGGAAAGGGTGGTGCACAATTAAGTAATGCTTTTCTGCCTGAGCCCCACACCTGAGCAGGAGAAAGGCCCTTAAGTCATTCTTGCTGATCGCTCCTCCTGTTCGATTTTTATTTCTCAGAAATCAAGTGAACTCCACAACTTCATGTACAAACACACATACATTCGTTTTCATATTTTTGGTGGGGAGAAAAAACAAAAACTAGTCAATCAAAAACAATATACTTATTACATCTTACCACAGGTTTACACATTATGTCTGAAGGAACGTACCCAAGACAGTGTGTCTTTTAAAAATATACAATTCTAATATAGTTGTGCAATATATACATTTATATAGACTTTTCCAAAATGAATCAGGCACATATAAAATCATATTTTTATATTTACATAATGGCTACATTTTCATTCTTTCAGTTTCCAAGTAGTTTACATTTTTATGTGTTTCAAACTTCACCCTATGTTTGCATTTACCTCTGGAAGGTCAGTGTTTCAGATCGATTACAGCGGGTCCGTGAAGGCCATCATCCTCACCTGTCGTGTGTACAAGTATCTTGTGTGTGCAAACGGAAACAGCACAGACGGACAAGGAGATTCCTTCCAGGAATCCTGGTGTCTGTTGAATAACGTCTTAATTTATGAGATTTTCCTACACGAATTTATTGCTGTGTGTCGGAATAAATACAGTATAAAATTATACCTCTTGTAATAACGTTTAGTATAATCACTTGTGTGATTAGGATACTTTGGTTTTCGTTTTCTTCACTCTTCACAGTTCACAAGTAATTTTGACTATTTTATAAAAACAGCAGTGCCAGCTGGAAGAAAATCTCTGCCGGAAGTTCTCGTTTCCCTGCCGAAATGGACAACACGAGGGTCGCCTCTCCGCATCCTTCCCAAACTGCTTTCAAAGGGAGGAGCTCGAGGTGGTGGGAAAATCCGGCCTGAAGGCCATTTACCAAACGCACCCTCGAAAAGGGCGTCTTTCAAGCCCCGCACTCTGCTTAGTTTCAAGATGGCAATGTGGCTAAATAGCAACACAAACTTCTTTTTCAGCAATTGAAATATTTCTCCGATGAAGCGTCACTTCTGCCTCCAAGCGCCCGAGCAACACTCCTGTGCAGAGAGCGGCAGCCTCGGCCGTTGCTCTGGGCAGAGGCTGTGCGCTTAGGCTGTGCGTCGCCGGTGCAGCGGGTCACAGCGAGTCACGGTCGGGGTGATTCTGCCTCCTGGGAGGTGGACACCACGCCTGGAGACGGTTCTTGGTGGTCCCAGCGTGTGGTGGGGAGAGGCCTGAAACGGCGCTGAATGTCCGGAGACCTGCAGGGCAGTCCACGGGAAAGGGCTACTCGGCTCCACCCACGCCTCAGTAGCACCTCCCCCCGAGAGGCGGGACCTTGTGTGAGATGGTGCAGACAAGCGGCTCCTTCACTCCGTTTACGGGAGTCACGCTGCTTCGTGGAAACCGTGCCACAAGCACAGCTCCCCCAGCGGGCCTGGCCCGAGCTCCGGCCACTGGGCACACGTGACCGACCTCGGCCCAGTGCTTACACCAGGGGGCGAGGCCGAAGCCACCGAGTCTTTGTCCAGCACGTGTATATACATACAGAAGTTACACAGTTTATTAAACATTTTTATCAGCTTAATGACCAGTTTCTCCCCTCACATTTGGTAAATAAAAGTTGTATTGCAGTGAAACAGGTTTCATCCAAACTGCTGTCAGGAAAACTGGGCTCCGGTTCCCTAGAGAGCACCATGGCGGGCGGGCTACAAACCCTGGCCTCTTGTGGCTGTTCTTCTGTGTTTCAGCAAATACAAAGAAATGATTAAACCGTACACAGCTGCGAGTGGCGGGGACCGGACCAGGAGGGCATCGGGGCCCGGTGCACACAGGGAAGCACCTGCCGCCCCCCGACTTCTTTCGGAAGCCAGACCTTGGGGGAGACCCCGGACTTCTAGAGCCAAGAGCGTCCCTGTTGGGCCCCAACCCCGGCACCTCCCCCAGTGCTTTGCCCACGCCCTCCTCCCCAGCCCCGCCCTACAAGAACAGGTGCGCTCAGAACCAGGAAAGAAGGTGCAGAGGAGGAGTGGGGTGGCCTCGAGGAGGTCCGCTTGTCTGCATCGATGGGGGCTTCTCCAACCAGGGGCTCCTGGGCCTCGTCCCCACCCAACCAAGTAAGAAAGATCTCAGGCCTGGGGGCAGAGAATCTAGCTTGTGAGCAAACGTGCCCAAGTGACAGCCGCCACTGTGGAGGTTCAGGTCCCCAGAAGGGGACAGCACAGAGGCGCTCTGGCTAGTTCAGGGGCGCCGACCTGTCTCTGTACCTCCTGGCAAAGTGCCCAGCCGGCGTTCTTCATGCCGCCCGCCATTCCAGCCGCTAGAAATTCACTGCAGCTGTGGCTCCTGCTTGTTTAGCACTCACTGAAAAGAGCTCCCCCAAGTTCACCGGGTGTGTGAGTCGAACCGACGGTGCTTCCTCCTCACCCCCGATGCAGAGCCACTGCCCAAGGAGATGGCTATTTGGACACAGGTAGAGGAAGGTGGGCCACCGCGGACCCCTGGAGAGGAGGCAGGCTGGGGAGCTGCTAGAAGACGGGGCTCCTGGGGTTCGGTGTGGAAGGTGGTGACATGCCAGAGATGTGACCCCTTTGAAAAATTCAGAAGGTCCCTACCAGCCAGCCAGCCAGGGCAGCCAGTGTGAACCCAAAAGGAGGAAGGAAGTCTCCTGCCGCTTCCCCTGGTACGGGCTGCTCTCCTACGGACCATAAATGTTGCCACAACTTCCTGTGCTTTGGCCTCTCAACTCCCTGGGCCCACTGAACCGGAGACGCCCCCTGCTGGAGGCTTGCTCCAGCTGTTCCAGGTTTTCCTAAGTCCATCACAGCAGGAAAGCCAGGGGGGAGGGGTGGGGGTGTGAAGATAGCAAATTTTACCTAGTTCGTCAACAAAATTTTCCCACAAACTCTGCGACAACTTTGATTAAGCAGCGCAGGTTCAAGACTGTTGGGTTCCCCCCCCCCAAACATCAATATCCGAGCAATTATCTCTCTATACCAAATCGACCTTTTTTGTTGCTGCTTAAAAACAATCATTTTACACAGTTGAGTTTTTCCCCTCTTCCCCCCAAAGTCTAAGAAAGGTTACATTTTTCTTTAAGACACGTCGGGTTTGAGAGCATTTCACCTTTCTGATACAACACACATTAGAACGTAAGCTCTGGACCAGCCAGATAAAGATCACTTTCCGTATAAAATAACCCCCACCCGCACCCCCAGTTCCTTGTTTCCAAACTGACCTGCAGTTTTCTTAAAATAAAATGTCAGGCCAGTTCACCTACTGCTTTACAAAACACTGGGATTTTGTTTTAAATCCGCGCCAACAGCAGACCCGGCTGGGAGGCTGCCTGGCCACGGCAGGTTCACGGGGGATCAGCTGTTGAGTTCTGTCGTCTCGTCAACCTCATCGGGGTTTTTGGCCATTTTTTCGTATTTTCTTTTGAAGAAGCCGAGCTGTGGGACAATGTATAACAGTGTTACCATCTCTGGCTCGTTCTGGGCGGGGCCTGAGCCTCCCTTGGCTGCCACTTGCCCTGAAGTGGGGACCGCTGGGGCTCTGGACGGGGTGGTATGCACGGACTACCCAGGTGTCAGCCCTTCAGGGAGGAAATTCACTCCCGAGCTGAGCTGAACTGCGTCAACTCCAGTGTTTCAGGCTGTATTTGTCTGTGGTTGAACAAGACCTTCAGGTGGGAGAAGGGGAGGTGGGGGAAAGGTGTGGACAGGCCCAAGGAGATGACACCCTTCCTTGCTGCTTTCAAGGGCGGGAGGAAGACTCTGCACACAGCCAGCACAGCCTTTTCCTTGTGATGGGGAGGGGCCTGTATATTTGTTAAAGATTTTATTTATTTATTTTAAAGAGAGGGGAAGGGAAAAAGAGGGAGAGGGACATCAGTGTGTCTTCTGCACCCCTCACTGGGGACCTTAGCCCCAGGCATGTGCCCTGACCGGGAATCGAACCTGTGACCCTTTGGTTTGCAGGTCGGCACTCAGTCCACTGAGCCACAACAGCCAGGGCAGGGGCCCCATATTTTTAAAATAAGAACCCTTTCTTACCTTCCATAAAATTGCAACCAGAGCTAATAGCAACAGGATTCCAGCAATTACACTTCCTACTATAACTCCAGTCGGTACTTCGGCTTTCTCATGGGGTTTCATGATCGTAACGGGAATCTGCAAACACACACACAACAGCTGAGTTAACCAGTGCTAGCCCCCAGAAAGACGGCTTCGCCAATTCCCCAGTTCCGTACACGGCGGTCACACGACTTGCGCAGGACTGTTCTTCGATTACACGGTGCAGAACGACTTCTAGACCAAATGCCCCTGCAAAGCGCAGGTGAGGAACGGACGCTTTCCGGTTTCCCTCTTTTAACTGCACGTGTATTAGCAGATGCGCCACCCCTGATGACATCGGACACATTCATTATTTATGAAACAGAATTTCAGCATCTTGCACACGGTTTTACCATCAGGTGAAAGCACCAGGTCCTGGGAGGGAGTCAAAGGCCTGTGACCAAACCGCAGAAACAGCCCCTTGGAAGTGGGCTCCCAAAATGCTGATGTCATTGACCTCCCACTCACGCTGACCGGGTGGTACGCACACGGTTAAAAATAGAAGGGCTATCTCAGGGCTCGGGTTGTGCTTTACGGAGATGAGACTGCCCTTGAGGCGACCTCTGATTCTTCACGTCCACTTCCTGGCAGTCTCTGTGACTTTGTAATGGAATGACTACCCTTTCTTTCACTTTTAATGGTAAAACTGTGTAGTCGGTTTTTTTTTAATTGTAGAAAGAATCACAACCACTTCCTCCACAAAGTATTGGGTTGGCCAAAAAGTCTGTATGGTTTTTCCCATAAAATAAAAGACACATTTTTCATTTTCACCAAAAACTTTATTGATTTGGATATTTTGAGTATGTCAGCTGTCTCCTGTGTGGTGTAACATTGATTGTTCTCAGTGTCTTGCTTTGATCGGTGTCAACGCCAACTGGTCTACCGACCGCGAAGCACTGTCAGCGAGAAATCTCTCGCACAAAACCACACAAATCACTTTTGACATATTTGATCAGTCACAGCCCCTTTTCCATATACCGCATTCATCTTTTTGTATTTCAGTTGTGTTTTTACCTTTCTTGAAATAATAAAGTCTAAATGCTGAAAAGGTTGCTTATCTTCTTTCATCTTCAATATTAAAATGGCTTCACATGCCCTGGCTGGTGTGGCTCAGTGGACTGAGTGCCAGCTGGAGAACCGAAGGGTCACTGGTTCGAATCCCAGTCAGGGCACATGCCTGGGTTTTGGGCCAGGTCCCCAGTTGGGGGCGTGTGAGAGCCAACTGATTGACATTTCTCTCCCTTCCTTCCCCTCTCTAACAATAAATAAATGAAACCTTAAAAAAAATGGCCACATAAAAATGCACCAATCTTGATAAGTTTTTTAAATGCACACTAAATATGACAGCTGTCACGATACAGTCTAACAAAATTGTTTCAAATGAAGTTAAAGACAACCGAGTGCTACTAGAGCCGTCATACAGATAAAACCAAATGACACTTTTGGCCAACCCAACATATTCTCAAAGAGCTACAAGGGGACAAAGCCTAATTTATTTACTTGCTTACGCCCTAATTACAAGGGCAGAGAGCTGCCTTGCAGCGCAGAGCCGATGAGTTGGGCTCTCAGTCTGGCCTTTTGGTGGCCGTGTCTCTCTTCCCTTGTACCTTCAAGGGCTGAACTAAGGCTTTGTAAATTCGAGGATGCAGCAGTCACGCACGCACGCATGCACGCACGCACGCACGCGCCCGTTGGTTTCTGGCAGTCACGGCTCCACCGCTCTCTGCCCCAGAACCCCGCAGCCTGGGGTCCGCGGAGCTACAGGGGTCCCTGGGCGTGTATCAGATTTGTATCAGATTTTGGGCCTGGGATTCATCCAAATTTAAGAGTCACATACTAACCTATAGGGATAGGTCAATTTATTGTTTGGGTTCCAAATATTATTTTTAAAATTTATCTAATTTTTACTTGGATGCAAAGACTGTTTTCATAGACACAACAATGTAGCAGCCAGCCCCTGTTATTTATCAGTATTTCTCAGAGAAAACCAGGGAAAGAAAAATTTTTCACAGAGTTCCTTAACATTGTTAATTTGAAGTTTCACTTGATACATTTATTTAGAACTGCTTTCAAAAAAAAAAGAGAAAGAAAAGAAAAAAAAAAGAAAACTTCGGCAAAGGCCCAGGCATTATCTGGACACCACATTTTTCTAAAATGAACTTTAAAAATCTCTATAGTGATTTTCCCCCCAGTCTAAGTTCATAGCACTGTGAACTTGACGGTGACATTTCCTTTGGTTCTATTTCTGATTTTCCACCCCCCCCCCATGCTGCAGAGAGGGCGCGGTCCGCGGTGGGGGGATCCGGGGACAGAAGAGCGGTCTCTGAGGCGTGGACTCCCTCTCCCTGTCCTGAGCGTGGGACACGCCTGCTGTGACCCCCACTCTCAGGCAGTGAGAGGCCCAGGGCTCACAGGACACTGGCTCTGTCCTCAAGTTCACAGGCTGCAGTAGGGGACCGACGCCAAGCCGGTCTTGGGGGAGAGTCTGGAACTGCCTTCCAATTTCTAACAAAAGCTCTGGGAGGAAAATGCTCGGGGCTGTGCCAGCAGAGAGCCGGCAGGGCACCCCCGCTGTCTCCGAACACGGAATCTTCTAGTCGGAGTTCCAGGGTGAGGGGGATGTGACCCGGCCAGCTCTCCGAACAGGGAGCCTTTGTTTCCTCCAAAAGTACATTTCTTTGTGAAACTTTTGTTAATCAAGGGGAGCATTTAGAGTTTTCTAGACTGTCAGTCCTCATGAATGGACATTTCACGCAGTGGCAGTAAGGAGGCATACTGCTAAAAGAGAAAAAGAAGCCCTCTACTACTTAATGCCTTATTGATGAAGCATACTTCAGCACTTCTCTCTAAAAGTACTCTACGAGATGCTTCAGAGAAGCAAGACTTGGATTTTAGGGGCAAAGATCTGGACCCTTCTGTGTGAGTGGGAGGAGGAGGGAGGCCCAGGGGTGCTGGTCCAGGTGGGGAGAACGCAGCCACAGCAGCTGGGGGCCCGTGGGCTGTGCCTTGCACGGGACACTTCGTCTGACCCAGCGCTGCCCACGTGGGGGCAGGGAGGTGGGCAAGGAGCAGACACCTTGCCCAAAGCTCAACGTAATAAACATCAGGTGGTCAGCGTCTCGGTAGCCGACGCTGCGCACCTGCAGGTGAGAAGCAGCCCTACTCTGAGTTCTCAGAAGCGGGCCCTGCAGCCCTCGGGAGGGGTGGAAGCGCTCACCGTGACAGCGTTGTCCTCGATCACGTACACCTGAGGGTTGTAGGTGTCGATTTCCGCAGAGGCCGTCAGCTGTATGGTCTGGAAAGCCGACTGCAACACAGAGCAGAGGACACGTGTCATCCCAGCAGAGGTTCAGGCATGAAGCTCATCACATTTACAATTTATTAATCTCCCCATGGAACAGGAGCAAAGGCCAACATGAAGACTGGAGACACTCAGTGTCTGGAACCGGTGACAGGGGACAGGCCACATGGCGAGCGCCCCGGGACTTCCACGTGTGGGTGGTGGGTCTGCATAGCAAATGAACCCCAGACTCCCCAGGTCAAGGCCACACATCTCTCCCAGCAATGGCGACTTCAAACGGGGCTGCACAACAAGTGAAGTTTTTAACACGGGAAAAACTTAGGTTGGCAACATGAGGGGAAATCACAAACCAGTGTTTTTATAGAGACAGACTCATACAGACAGAGGACAAATGGCTGCCGGAGGGGAGGGGTGGGGAGACTGGGTGAAAAGGGGACTAAAAACTGCCAAGCGGCAGTTACAGATCAGGTGCGAAGATGAGACGTACAGGGCAGGGGGCACCGTCAAAACTATTGTCATCACTCTATGTGACGCCTGGTGGGGATGGAAGGATCAGGGAGCCCCTTTGCAAAGTACACAATTATCTCCCCACTGTGCTGTGCACCTGGAATGACACCAAGTAATACTGCGTGTCAACCGAGACTGGAAAAGTGAAACAAAGCACACTCGATTTTTTTTAACCTATTCCCTTCAGTAAGGGATATGACGGCGTGGGAGATCAGATTAAAAAGAAACAGAATTGTTCTTTATGTGTGCACGTGTGTAAACCAACGCTGCTCCACGGGACACTGGAACTCGACCAGGCACGTCCGCAGCAGAGCCCTGAGCTTGTCCTGTATGTTAACAGGGCTCCTCATTTCAGATTTCCTAATCTGAACGTCGCTACCAAAAAACACAGGACTCAGGGCGGGCCTGTAGAAAGCACATATACTTTATGCTGATGTTTCCAGTAACCTAATGTAAACTAAGTCAGCATGCCCCCCTGGATCTGTGGTAGAAAAATAAATCTGTTTTCCACCGGCTACATCATCGGTGTGAATAGTCTTTGCTCTGTGAGGAAATATGGGCCCGAGGCTTACTCTGAAGTAGAACGCGGTGCCCCGGCTTGAAAGCCCCACCACGTGCCCTGGCTCTGAGGACCCGGTTTTCCCGGTTCCTAGGGCCCGGGACCCAATGTGGTCCGAGAGGCAGCTTGCTGAACTCTCTCCGGGAGCCAGGAGAAGAGAGTGCACGTCCAGAAAGTGAGCAACACATTTCCTTTCCACTAGCTCAGTCTGATTCGTCTTCCTCATTTTCTGCACATGGAAGATTGCATCAGAAAGTAACTCTGATCCCGTCTCTGGAACAAATCTCACTGGGGGAACATGAAGGGTATGGATGCCCCGGCCGGGGAGCTTGGTTCATGGAGCAACAGCCCGATAAGCCAAGGTGGCGGGTTCGATCTCCAGTCAGGGCACATACAAGAAAAAAACAATGAATGCATCAGTAAGTGGAACAATGGATCAATGACTCTCTCTCTCTCAAAAATCAATTTTAAAAAGGGTATTGATAATGGTTTAATTAAAAAAAACGGTTAAGTGAATGCTGGTTTCATAGTCCCTACAGACTAAGAAGGAAAGAATTCCCTTACAAGAATGATAACCTGCTCTCCCGAGCTGGGCCTGCCGCACCAGCACCAGGACGTCTGCAGGGCTAGCGAGCTGGGCCAGGGGCACATCCCACGCACGCCCCAGACCAGCGTTCAGCAAGGGTTTGCGTCCACATGGCGGTCGACGGCGCCACCGGTTCGGAGGACTGCTTGGTCACTGGGTGAGGAGACTCCTTGTCACATTGCCTTGATTTGCAGCACATCAGAAGGGGGGGGGCACAGTAACGGTCCTGATTTAGGAAATGAGGACCATGTTCACACCCAGAGCAGCCCCTTGGCCTCGGAAAGGGCTGCAGACACGGTGGAGATGCACCCAGGACGACAAGTCTCAGGGTCATTTCTCGGTTTAACCATCACAGTAACCACGCTGAAAAAGCCTCAGTATCACACTTCTCCGGAGCGTTGCTCTCAGAAATAAAACCTTTTTTTTTCTGAAAACCTTTGCACAGATACTTTGAAAAGTCTGACAGTTAAAATGACGTTGCTTTAGATAAACTCAACAAAAACCCGATGGTTTTTACAGAGTCGGCGTGGCTGCTTTGACTTGCAGCAGCCGGGTGCCTTCCCAGCTGGCCAGTGCGCTGGGATGGAACGCCGGCTCCTCCGTCCAGGGAGCCCGGAGCCAGGCGGCGAAACCCAGCACCGACCTGCAGCAGCTGGGACGGTGGTATGAGGAAGGGCGGGCTTGGCACCGGCAGGATTTGGGGGCCCCCGAGGCTTGGGAGCAGATGCAAACTAACAAGAAAGCGAAATAAAGGGAAGGAAGCGAGAGGAAGCCTGACTTCTCACTCCACCGCCCTCACTTTTCCCGATTCCTCTTCCTATTATATCTTTATCCAAGAATGTTGCTTATATTTTGGTTCCAGGGACAAGTGTTTTGGGCGTGTAGTTCTCTAATCAGACGCAAAACTGCACACCAGGGCAGGGGGTTTGTTGGAGAGACCATGAAACGGTTAGAAAATGGGGAGTAAAGTCTGGTGGGTAAGCGCCTTCAGGACTGATTTGTTCATAAAAAGAAATCTGCCAAGAGCCACAGGCCCCCCGGAGGCCTCAGCCTAATTTCTGGTTTGCAGCCTCCATCAGAGGCACTGCTGCAGTCTGACTCCAGGAGCCTGTCTGCCTTCTAGTTTTTGTCCCGGACTCAGCTTCTGGCCCCCAGACCTCTGCTGAAAGCAGATAGCACCAGGGCTCCTCCTGCCAAGTGGAAAACACACTGACGTTGTTTTGGCACTTCCTTCAAATCTTCCGTGAAACTGAAATGACCTAAAAACTCCTGTGCGCCCTGGGCTTCCTCCAGAGGAGGGTGGATCAGGAGAAGCAGGCGGCGCCTGCTCCAGCGCAGAGAGAGGGGTCCTTCCCTTTGTCAGGCTCACCCACTGGGTGGGCTGGTGTTCCAGGAAGAGGGCAGAGTCCTGTGCACTTGGACGGGGGTGCGGCGGAGGAAGGGAGGAAGGCAGACGTGTCAGGAGCACTGGGAGGGAGACTAGGCAGGGCCCCCCACACACCCGGGGGGCAGCAGAAGGCGCCTCTGCACGGCACCCCGAGGTGTGCAGGGCTGCTGTGCAGTCTGAGAGGGGGTGCCCCGCAGGCACTGCGGGGACTCCAGGCCCGGCCAGACCGGACAAGCTCTGGAAGGAGAGGCAGCACTGGGCTTCAGGGTGAAGCTGCTCTGGCCTCCGTGGGCCCTGCTGACATTGGCCAGGGACGGGAACTTCTCGACAATGAAGCCTGAGGACTTAGCGACCCGCCCAGTGAAGAAAACCAAAACTCACTGCAGCGAAAGTCCCGTTCCAGATCCTGGTGGACACGTTCAGGAAGTACTCGGCCTTGACCTGCGGGTCCCTCAGCCAGCAGGTGACGTTCTGACAGGAGGCGGTCCTGCAGTTCTTAAGGGTGGGGTCGCGGGGGGGAAGCAGAGAGGGTCAGTGGCAGCTTCGAAAAAGAAGAGTCACAGTTTCAGAGAAGGACAGGGTGGACACAGGGAAGCAGGCAATCCCGTGAGTGATCTGTGGTTAAAGCTCTTCGCTCTGCCCCCAACTGGACCAGTCCCCACCCTCTGCCCAGCCGTCCCCATCTGCACGGAAGGCCTCAGGCGACAGCTGTGGCCCTGTGGAGGGACGTCCACCACCCCTGCTTAGTGACTGCTGCTGACGACGAACAACAACAAGTAATCCGTGCTTATCAACAATGTACTAAGTGAGCAAGTTACTGAGGACACAGATACCATGAAAGGCAACACAACTCAGTCACTGAACGTAACTGACAAAGACGCCTTCCTCGGATTTCAAGGAAGGCGACAGTAAAAGAATCGGCAGCTGCCACGGATCAGGGGAGGGAGGCACGCAGCGCGAGGACTTTTCGGGCAGTGAAATGACTGTGCGTGATGCTCTCGTGCTGGAGACAGGTCACCATACCAATCGAGTCCACGACCCGAGGGAACCCAGGGTCAGCTCTGGACTTTGGGCAATTACAACGTCTCAGATGTGGGCCCACCAATGGGGAGAAATGCACCGTCTGGTGGGGGGGGGGTTGGATAGCAGGAGGCTGTGCCTGTGTGGGGGGAGGGGAAGGTGGGGAATTTCTGTATTTTCCACTCAGTTCTGCTACAACTGCTGTAAAAAATAGTCTGTTTCAGACTGGCATATTGGCCTATAAAAAGGTAGCATCGTCCATTTGTGCAGCGGTACTGACACGTGCGTGTTCGTGAACTGTCCAGCGGGCAGCCGTTACGTTTCCCAAAACTTCAGTTTGTGGTCCTTTCTGTTGTCATGTTTGGTTTGTGCTGTTTCCACTTAGCAGCTGACACTGTTACGAAATCACAGCATTTTCACAAGAATAAGGAAAATGCTGAGATGAGTTTCTACTGGGAATCTTGACACATTAGATTTCAATTGCATTTATGGTCATTGCACTGTAATTACTTTAAAAGGAAACTATTTCACCCTCCTCGTTTCCTGCTTCCTCCACCCGCCATGAAATAAAACACTTTAATCAGCCTTGGGTGTGTCTCTAACCTTGATGCACGCTGGCCCCCCACAGGCCGAACAGGAATCTCTGAATTGGGGGCGGGGCTGCCTGTGTCCAGGCACACTGAGCCATGACACCCGAGGGAAGCTGTCACTGTGTTAAGTGGTCCTCACCAATTCTTTTACGTGCCGGAAATTTTCACTCTTGAAAGACACAGGAGAAGATGTCCGTCCTATTTTCAGTGGATTTACTTTGGCATCACAGCTGATGTCGCCAACCTACGAGAAAGGACATCCAGTTGGTCTCAGGAAGCAAAACAGTGTATGAGGTTCCTTTCTACCTGGGAGGAAGTCCTACTGTCACATGACAGTCCCATTGTCACACGGGGGACCCTTGGGCTAGCTTCGCTGCAGAGCTGGCCACACTTCTGTCATCGCTTGTGCAGACGGGGACGCATTCAGATGCTGCGGACCTGACTCACTGGGTGCTGCTGGATCTCACTGGTGCTGAGACAGACTTGCAGCGACAATGACTGAGAGTGCCTTAACTCAGGGTTCCCTCCAGTGGTTTAGGATTTTGACACGAGAACCAGCTCAGTAAGTGCCTGAGGACGGTGGGGGCCATGTCAGAGCAGGTCACAGCCCCCTGGGGGGCTCTAAACACAGACACAGGTGCTGGAGCCGTAGCCAGAGAGACGCCAGGTTGGCTGCAGGTGGGGGCCCTGGGCATCACTGGTGTCCGAAAAGTGACCTCGGTGATGGACTTGAGCAGCCAGGCTGAGGACGTCAGCTGGAAACTCCAGCTACTAATGGTGGCCAGGAGACGACATGTCCCCTACGCAGGTTTAGCCTGTCACCTCCCGGATGACAAAGCTGTCCCCGGGCTGTGACGGAGGTGGGTCCCCACCTGGCCAAGGCGGGGCTTCAGGAACCACTTGGACCATCTAGACTCAGGTGTCTGTTTTCTTACACTGACATCCTCCTTCCAGCAACTGTTTCGTGAACCGGCACCCAGGGTGCACGGGTCACCTTCCTCCTTTCTGTCTACGGTGCTTGGCCGAGATGGCAAACTGCCCCCCGCCGTGGGAGCTCCCAGGTTGAAGGAGTGCATGGTTACAGGCCACTTGTGGCCCTTACCTGATCGGTGTGGATGCCCGTCAGGTACAGCAGCGGGTTCTTTGCTTGGGTGAGCTGGGGGATGTGGATGGTGACGGACGCCATGCTTACCGGAATGCTTCCCGTGGCCACCTGCAAAGTACGGAAGGAAACTGTTTCTTATTGGAAAAATCTTCACTTCTACGATCTGAACCGGTGAATACTTTGTGACTTAGGAGATGGTTAAAAACATCCGCCATCTGCGGTGTTGGGCTGCCGGAGCACGAGGCAGCTCCCGATGCCGGAGTGGCCCGGGCAGGGCCTCCGAGCACCTCCCTGGTCCCCGGAAATAAACACGATCAGCACCTCAGGTAGGACACAGGTAGAACGCCCGCTCTCACTGGTGGGCAGTCTGTCCGCTCTGGCCGGTGCTTGTGTCCTACTGGTTGTTAAGCACTTTACTTATTTTTAAAATTTAATCGTAATGTATTTTTTTCCGTCGCCATTTAGTCCCCTTATGCCCTCCTCCCCCACAGGCACCGCACTGCTGTCCATGGGTGACACGCAGGGGAACAGTAACCTTAACCGACCTCCTCCCCATGCGGGGTCACGTGGGCCAATGCGGGCAAAGCTCCGGACACAGAGACTGGTGCGTGTTACACCCCTGACCGCTGCCTCACGGTCGCTGCCGACGGACTGACGGGTTCCTTACAGAGGCAGGTGCCCACGCCACGCATGTACATTCCAGTACCCGGATCGCAAATCAAGACTCGCTTAAAGGTTTTTTTTTCTTAAGTCACCAAACTGCAGGGTTGCAATCATTTAACAGACGAGTAAGAAATGTACAAAAGGAAATTGTACAGACTCAGGGGGGTAGATGAACTTTCTTTTTACTTTCCAAAGTTTCTGTGATTTATATTATAAAATAGTTCCTTTTAGATATTAATTGCTCTGTACATAGTTGATAATAATCTTTAGACTAATGACTGCATATACTAATAGACAATCAAATAGATTTTACGATATTATTAGACACCACTGAGCTGACTACAAAACGCACAGCTGCACACAAACCGTAAGCTATCGAATGGCAGCGGCCCCAAAGGCCCCCGGCGCACTGATCCTATTCTGGACGCTTCCACCCACACTAATGCCATCGCACCAACATTCCGTGGGGTAACGTTGAACGTTTTCTTTCATAACACATCCATGACCTCTCGCTGAGCCTGGAACCTCACATCTGTGGTCCATCTCAGGGACTCTCCGAGTGTGGCCGCTGGGCCCACCATCAGGGTTGCTGGAACTTGTCACAAACGCACCATTTAGGCCCATCGCACCTGGGACGCTCTGAGGACGGAGCCCAGGGACCCGCACTTGGGCAAGTCCCCCCCCCTGCAATGTCACGTGTGCTCAAGTCAGGGACCCCCAGTTTGTTTCAACTTCTTTTTCCTTCCTTCTCTTCCTGGCCTGAGTCTATTCTTTCCCCTCCTCCCGACTTCCCATCCCCATGACGGGTGCACCAACCTTAATGGAGAAGTTGAAGCTGGGGCCGATATCTTCAAACCTGCGCACCACGGAGGGGACGTTCCCATCTGGCGACACTTCATAAAAATTTATGTTGGTCGACCTGTTGTGAAGCCAGATATTTTAGTTTTGTTGTTCTTCTCGAAACTTAGTACTTCTGTCACTTAACTGTCTCTAGCACATGTTACAAGCAAAACAGTTTACATTTAGGCACAGAAACGTGAAATGGAGACACATGCTTATTAAGCGCTCGTGGCCCAGCGCCCGTCTGAGGCTAAACCACACTCTTCTCAAAGCCCCTTCCTGGGCTGCCTGCTGGGGGTGTCTGTGCTGTGCACTTGTCAGTTGTGTGGCCTCCCAAGTAAACACAGCCGTCGTTGCTTTGGGACTGATGGGGACTCTTCTCTCGATGGCCGTTACCCAGACCAGGGTGTTCATGGGGTAGACAGCTGGTCCCCACGGAGCGGATGAGTGGATTTCCCAGCAGAGGATCCCCCACTGGGTGCGGTGGGGACACGGCGGCAGAGCACTGGCTGGCGCTCTGGCACTCCTCTTCCTGGACGCCCGTGACACAGGAATGACTCCTTCTCACTGGTCCTCCTTCCCCTCCTTCTCCAGTTCCAGAACAACGCCAGTGCTTCTCGGCCGAGTTGGATCAGCCGGTCTGATTCCGTCAGCACAGAGACCACCCTTCAATGGCCCGCCCAGAGGTTTTATGAGACGAGACCTAGAGGCCCCGGACAGACCTGACCTCTCTGCTGGGGGGCTGCCAGCTGCAGTGATGACCCGGCCCGGGGACCCCACAGGACCAGTCACTTCTGGGGCTGTGAGGCTGGATTCCGAGGCGGCTTTGTGGGGGAGGGGTCGGGGAGCTGGGGAAGAGGCTGAGAAGCAGTATTTATTCCCACCACATAATCTATCCTAATTATAGAATAGATTATATTCCCTAAAAAAAATTAGGACGGTTTCTGAGACAGAGATGTTGGATTTGTTTTCTGAAAACACTGCCTTTTTCTTCTTTAAATGCCCTTTAGAAAAAAACACTTTTCCAAATTCTCAAAAGGAAAACACAGCTTAGGGAGTCCTAAGTAAATGCGGTATTTGTGATGGTCCCGTGTGTGAGAGGAACAAAGACCCTCCAGCCTTCCGTTGGGTTGGGGGCACTGCTGGGGCAGTGAAGCAGGAAACTGGCTGCCGGGGCAGGACACCCCCCTGACCGAGGTCTTTGTGGGGCCCCAAGGACACCCATTTCTAGGTTGATTAATAGCTTTGCTTTTGCATTTTGAAGAGATCTAACATTTGCCCATCAGTTACGTAGGTTTTCCTTAAGTCACTTAAGTGTTGGTCAATGTATTTACAATAGCAGTTAACTAAATCCAGGGGATTCCGTTTCAGAAATAATTCTACCACCATCCCGTTCCCAACCATCACATTTGCACAACAGAGCTTCACGTTTATACGGTACCAAAGTGGTTGTTAAAGGTTACCCTCAACAATGGGGAAGGGCTTTTTTTCAAAAAGCTTGCACAGATATTTGTTTAAAAATGTTTTTCTTCCCTCCAGCATTGCTTGTGATGATGAAACAAAATAAAAATGCAAAAGTCGAAGTATCTCATTAACATTAAATTGGTTACATAAGTTACAATCTAGCCAGGAACAGGATGAGTTGGAGCTGTGTGTGCTGATACAGATTTCTCTAGGGTGATATAAGAGCAAGGCCCAGAAAAGCTCTGTCGTTCGACCTGGGTAAACAACATGGGTGTGTGTGAGATGCTCAGGTCCCGGCAGCAGAACAAACCCGCATCTGGGAGGTGTTCTCACACGGGTGAGTCAGTCACCTGCGGGGTGGTGGAGGCGGGCGGGAGGAATGATTTCATTTTCTGTTGCGTGGCTTTCTCGAAGGTTTGGGTTTTCCATCCGTGTGCATTTAATGTCTTTCTTTTAAACAAACAGGAATTGTCTGGGTGGTATGATCAAGAAGCCACATTAGCTTTAGTCTTCGTAATTCTTCCTATTAGTTTTTTAAACTGTGTGATACTTTTTAAAGATCAGAACATCTTAGAGTCCAAGTTACCATCACAAAAAATACAAAACTGAGACAAAGAAGCACCACTCGAATCTTATACTTATTCCGTGGTAAAATACCTGAAAAACTGCTCATGGTGGAGAGTGTAGTCTGTAATACGAAGACTGCATTAAGAAAAAGCATTTAGGCCCTGGCCTGGGAGCTCAGGTCGTGGGTTCGATTCCTGGTCAGGGCATACAAGAAGCCACTGATTGACGTTTCTCCCTCACCCCAATGTTGCTCTCTCTCTCCCTCCCTCTTTCTCTAGTATCAATAACTGTATCCTCGGGTGAAGATTAAAAAAGAAACAGAAACAGTATCTAGGGAGGAAAGAAAACTTCGAGTAATGTGTCCCATCCATCACCCCGGCCGCTGGTGTCCTCAGTTCCTCCTCCAGCAGCCGAGGGGCGCCGGAGCCCGTGGCCGCTGATTAATTTCTCAGGGCCGGCGACTTGGACTGCACTTTGCTTCTGCTTTTATGCTCGAGACTCGCCTGGTGCAGAAGCATTCTTTTCCCCTTTGCTCATGCGTCTCGGGCTTAAGCATACTTTCCTCACTGTTTTTGCTCCGGGATCTGCAGGAGACCCTTCCCCCACCACATTCAGGGGCTGCGGTGACGTGGGAGTTGGAGAATTCCTGTCCCCGGACACTTGGCAGCCTGGCTTTTCGGGCACATGCTGCTGCATGCCATCCACAGTCACCGATCTATGCTGGGAGGCAGCCTCGCCAGGAAGAGAACCCGGGTCCCAAGGCCAGGAGATGGGCGTCCCCTGTGGCCCTTGTCCCTGCACAGCTGTGCCCCCAGAATGTCTGCCTCCAGAAACCGCCTCGCTTCTAAGCAGGAGTGAAGGTGACAACGTCAACCTGCTAGCTCCGGTGGTGTTTATGTGTCACTCATGTCTCAAGACACCTATCCCCCTGAATGATTCATGAAGAGCAGGAACACCGACCCCATTCTGCTCCGCGCTCTCCGAGTTCTCCCGCTTGGGGCCGGCGAGAAAGGGGCGCAGGGCGTCTCCTCACGGGTGACCTCCTTCGGGAAAGGCCCCGTTTCCTCTTGGTTGGAAGAAACCCTTGGTCCGTTAGGTCGGCAGTTTTCTACCCAGAAATTACTTATTTCTGTGACTAGAGTCAGTATTTGTGGACCGACTATGTGCACAGCACTGTGCTCAGGGCTTCAGCACCCGGGGATGGGGACACCGCTGGGGTCCTCGTGTGGACAGGAGAGGGGCCTGGACAGCGCGGCCGGAACTCTCGGCCCGAGCTCCGCTTTGACATCGGGGCAGTTTGCAGCCCGTCTGGGGACCAGGAGGGTTTCCCCGGCCTGCACCAGAAGGGTCGTCCCCTGCCTTTCTGGCGTCATTCTGGTCAAAACCCTGGGGTGGCTCTGGGCTCCCCTAGGGGTCAGGATGTCCCTGGACTTCTGTCTGAGTTGACGAGGGAAAAGCATTTCAACCCCCTTCTCCAGCTAGGAAACAGGCCCCAGAGGACCCGTGGAGTCCCGGAGCCAGACGTGTCGGTGCCGGCGTGGCCCCAGTGGTCGCAGGCTGCCCGTGGCGGCCCCTACCTCGTTATGTGAATGTCGGCATCGTACAGCAGAGGGATTTGGAAGCCGACTGAATTGTCCGCCGCGTTTGCCTCGTCGCTTTCGCTACGGAAACAAGCATCAGGGAATTAATTACTCAGAGAGAAGTATCAGAAAAGCCACCCACTGAACACTTCCTTATGCTTTACCTTAAGGCTTCGAAACTGACGGCCGCCTGATTCTGAAGGTTTTGCAGATTGAAGTCAAAGTTGACAGTAAATGTCACCTGCACATGAAAGTAAAACTCATCCATGAGTGATGCTCCGGACTCGGGCCAACATGAGAAACAAGTCTCCCACGGAAGTCGAGCTCCCCCCCTCCCCGGTTTAATTCAGAATTTCATCTACCGCAAGCTTCTGAATTGGTAGCAGGGGTAAGTACCTGTCCACCTCGCTTCATGCCTCACTTGCAGGCTTGCAAGGGCTGAGCTTTCAGTTGACACGGACCAGGGCTCCCATCTCGGGCATGTACGTCCACGTGTCCGAATTCGGAAGCTTTTGTGTGGATGTGAAATCTGCTCATCAGGGGTCAGCAAAGGACCACTGGGCCCCGGGGGGCGGCACTGGGACCAATGCTGGTCAACGTGCCCATCGAGAAAGACCTTCCCCTGTGCTGTGTGTTTGGAAGGAACTGCCTAGGGAGAACCTCGCTTTCTTTAGTAACTTAAAGAAAACTTTCAGATTTTAAACTCTTCCTCTAAATACGTCACCGGTTATGTCGTGATGCCTATAAAATGGTGGCCCCTCCCAAGGAGGACGGCATGTTGGGGTGTCAGCGCTTGTGCCAAGGAGGGGCTGGCATGGGTTCGAGGAGGAAACGCAAGCTGTACCTGCTGGTCCCGCTTCAACGCAGGGTAGCCTACGTCGCAGGCCACAGACTTCTGAGAGGACGCAACCTGGCACGTGACTTCTGTCCCATCCCCCTGCAGGAGAGCAGGAGACAACGAGTCATTAGTGGGTGACGCGTGTGTGCGGGCCACCTGGGCATTGCAGCGGCAAGATGGGTTCATACCGGAGTAAGCTTCTGTCCCCCAGGACACAGGCATCGTCCAGGTGGCTAAGAGGCTGTTTCACGGCTAAGCAGAACACCCATGAGCCACAGGATTTACTTTCCCCAGAAGGAAAGCTCTTATATTTCCTAAGCACATAGGAACTTGAATCCAATATCAGAAAGGCTGTCTTTAATGTATACTTTTCTCCTAATAGGTTTGAACTTGGTAGTTTCACGAGAAAAAAAACAAGATCATATGCTGGTGTTTGTTTATATTTTAAATAATCTAAAGACTCTTTTTTTAGCTTCCTTTCCTTTTCTCTTTACAGTAAAAAGCTGTCATTTTGCATAGGAAACTTAAACGCCGAAGTCAGAACAGGTTGAGGACCCTGGATCCATTAAGTCCACACTGACTTTAAACTGGATGAGATGCTTTCAGAATTCCTTTGTCAAGCAGGTGGCTAATTTGGAAAATCTTAGCTTTTCTCTCTTCTCCCTTTCAAAGCTCGGTGGCCTGGGAGGGCCCGGGGAGCATTCGTGGTCAAGTGCACTCCTGGAATAGCGATCAGGCTGACCCGATTAGGTGACCTGGCAGGAATGTGTCGTCCTGGCAGCCACAGCACCATGGCTGGGCTGTGGGACTCCAACTGCCTGGAGCGAGTGCAGCCCCACCCAGCGGCCGTGCCACGCAGGTGGCCGGGGGTTACGCCGGGACTGCAGCCACACGGCGAGTCTCGGGGCAGAGGGAACGGGCCTAGACACAGAGCCGGCCGGTCCTCCTGGGGTTTAACTCACCAGGAGCCACCCAGTCGGGACTGGCAAGGGACCCCGGGAACACGGACGCCACCACCTACCGGCATGGACATGGACGCAAAGAACAAGTTCTCTGAGAAGTCCACCGCCAGCCTGGTGTTGTAGGCGCTCTCCTTCTCGTTCTTCAGCATCACCGAGAAGGTCAGCCTTCTGTTTTGGTTGCTGACAATGAAGGGTTGTCCTCTGTTAAAAAGGGGAGAAAGGGGGAAAGTCACCGCGGGGAAGAGGGGGCTGGTATTCACACACTTCGTTCACTTCCCAAACAAACTCTTCCCATTTATTTTGAATACTGAGAAAATTGCTTAATGATAAACTATTTCATCGCAAAACGATGCTGACAATAAATAAGGTGCTATGGGGCTTTCTGCTTCGCTGCCTTTAATGATGCTGCAGGAAAAGGAACCACCTGAGTATGGACGGTTTAATGCCTCTTGTTGCCTTACAGCTACATAATGGTAGAAATTGAGATTTAGGTTTTAAAGGTTTTGAATATTTCTTTCGTAAAAAAATCTCCATAAACATTCACTTGAATAACGCAAATGAATGTGTCCTTTATTTCTACATTTTACACTGAACTTTACTTTTTTTAAGATTCCATTTACTTACTTTTAAAGAGAGGGGAAAGGAGGGAGGAAGAGGGAGAGAGACACCCATTAGTCGCCTCTCACACGCTCCCAACCAAGGACCTGGCCCACAACCCAGGCATGTCCTCCGGCCTGGAATTGAACCAGCGACCTTGTGGTTCAGGGACCACGCCCAACCCACTGAGCCACATCGGCCAGGGCTGCACCGGGCTTTAAAGGAAGACTTACTGAGCAGCTGGCACCTGTTGGACCGTGAGCACTAGGTCGGAGATGCACAGTCCGTCCTCTCCGCAGTCCTTATAGAAAGGGACCTGCAAGGGGGAACAGTCCCAGACACATACACGTGAGGACACGCAGCGCGGCACAGCACACACGGCATCATGCCATTCACGCGAGGCTCAGAACCACACCAAACCGAACAGAGTCTTAGGGAGGATCTGTACGCGTTTAGCAACATGGGAAAGAAAAGCAATGATCAGTGCCACATTCAAGGAGATGACTCCCCAGGGGGATGCAGGTTTGCCGGGGGTGGGGGGCCCTGCAGGGAACTTCACAGCTGCTGGTAACGTTTCACTTTCTAAGGTGTTTGCGTTATTGCTCCGTATTTCTCCAATGCGTGTCTACGGACCCCCTTCGGTGGGCCAGGCAAGGCTCACCAGGCTCGGGGGGAATGGGGCAGAGACCAAGGAGGACAAAAATCTCGGCCTCCGTGGAAGTCACATGCTGTACACACAACCAACTGCATTTCATTCAGAAGGTTAACAATGTAAAGGCTATGCCCTAAGCATGTGTCAAGCAGCCTCGAGCTTCGAGAAGCTCAGTGGGAGTGAACTTGAGGCCGGGCGGCGGCACTTACGCTGAAGACCTTGGCGGTCTCGGAGTAGGCTTCGAGGGCGGGGCTGGAGCCCGGGGCTGCCAGGCTGATGTTCACGCACAGGTCCAAGGGGCTGATGATGTCCGAGGGCTCCTAAACACACGCGCGTGTGCACACAAACACAGGGTCAGGGGATTAGCACACAGAAGCTTTAAAACAGGGGTGTCCGACCTTTTGGTGTCTCTGGGCCACACTGGAGGAAGAACAGTTGTCTCGGGCCACACGTGAAATACACAATGACATGTCATCACAAAAGAATCTCATAACATTTTAGGTAAATTTATGGTTTTGTGTCGGGCCTCATTCACAGCCATCCTGGGCTGCAGGTGACCTGTGGGCCACAGGTTGGACATCCTCTACTTTAGAACAAGAAAATGGCCACAGTCTTGTTGCGAATTTTCAAGACTCTGGCTTCTTCCCTTCTGCCCTAATTCCGTTCTCCACCTCCCCACTACTAAGAAACCTAAAGACTCGGGTTCCGTAAAAATGAGAAGCAGCGATTCTTGGCTAATCCTCAGTAATCTCATCACATGTGCAGAGGGGATCATAGATACTTAGAGGGTACGTCCAGTTTTAATGCTCAGAAGACCCCTGTGTCAGTGTCTGTCTCTCAGGTCATTGGCTCTGGCCTTTCCACTCCCATGGCCAAGGCCTGGGTGTCCCCAGGGGTCCTGAGCAAACCTCAGGAAAGGAAAACCATGGCCTCACAGGGACGGTGCTCAGGGTGATGGAGAAGGTTCCCTTCCTCAGTCAGAACCTAACTCTGCTCTACAAGGCCCGATCTGGGGGGTGCCCATACCAGGAACCAAGCCCCCCAGCTTTCAGCTCCAGCCGACTGTTAGGAGCTGCTCTCCCCTTGCACAGGTAAGATGCTGCACGCCTTGGCCGGTAGTCACGGAACCAAGGCCACCCGGTACACCCTCTGCACCTGGTCTTCAGTGTAGGGGGTGGGGCTGGCTGTGTTTCTCGGGACTTTGGTTTCTGAGGCACCCTGCCCAACGAAAAATGTAAAAATGTCCAAATGGGGCTGCGAGTGCCGTCCAGCAATCCCCGAGCAAACACCCTCCCCGTCCTGGTCAGGAGAGAACCAGGCACCGATGGGGCAGACCGAGACCTGACTTCGCCTTTTCCGGAGTGGTAAGCGCTTGTTACCAGCTCCGCTGATGGCAGGGACTGCTCCTGTCCCCAGCCCTTTGGAGGCCCGGCTCCAAGGAAACACTTCCTCACCTGACTCAGGACTGGCACGAATGACGGACCTCGTATTGGTATCAAATATGGTGACAGCTGAAACACTATCTCCTAGCAACAGAAACAGCCTGCAACTTCTGAAAGCTTCTCACACGAGAAGGAATGGAGTCTCGTGTGAACGACTGGGCCCTCTCGTTCCCCGACTATAGGTGACACGTTTCATCAGAGCCACCCGTCAGCTCAGGGAGGGCAGAGAATGGAAACCAGCCTGTTTCCCTTTAAGTGACGGATACAGCTGGCCCCTGAATGACAGAAAGGTCCAGACCTCCGCAGACAAGAAACCTCTAACTGGAAAAACGCACAGCTGAGCTTGAGGCATCCGCTGGCTATGCTTCTAGCTTCTGTACCCAGTTGGCATCTCCTGTGATGTGGCCTGTGCATGACCCATCTACCCTGGAAATAGCTGGGGGTGCCCCCAAAGCCTGCATACTCCTTGACCTTCAACCCCCACATTTCTGGGGGGAGGGCCCAGAATACCCACTGTATAAAAGTCTCCTTGGCAATTCCTGTGCATCTCACACTCTCTGACAACCACATTGTAGAAAAGTCCTTAAACGGCTCTTTCAAAGATGGTTTCCTGAGTAAATTACACTCTCAAACAATTATGTGGTTTCCAGGGGGAACTATGTATATAATTCATAAAGTAAATTTCCTGTTGGAAGTTTTCTCCTCTTGCAAAAGCATTTTCCTATTTGGGAGATTTTCTAAATCCATTTGAGTGAGAGGAACTGGCCCGAGATTAGAGCCAATCATTTGGCCCCGAAACTCTACCATCTGTCACCTTTGTTAATGAAATCCAATCATGGAAAAACAGTTGAAATCGTTCTTGTCAGCACCTTAAAAATGAAGACAATTTTTCTGAGATAGGAAAAAATGTCAAAATAAAACTTATGGTCAACCAAACCTGCCTGTTAAATATCTAATAAAGCACTCTGTCCTGATGTCTTTAAGAACCTTGTATTTAGCCCTGTTTAGCCTCCCAGATGAAATTTAGTGCCACTGACTGATTAATAATGGAGTGTGACCATGATACAAGCAAAGGAAATATGGACCCCGCTCCTAGAACAGAAAAGCTTTCATTAGAAAAACAGGCCTTTCCTGACTCCTCATTTCCACTGCAGCTGGTCCGGGGGATCAGATGGGAGAAGTGAGAGGGAGGGAAGACACTGAGGCCTCACCTGTATGTTGATGATGAAGGTGGAGCAAGTCTGTGCTTGACGGATGACCACGTTCTTCTGCAGGGTCCTCTCATTGTTTTCCTTGAACAAGCCCCTGGAGGTGACTCTGGACGAGTACAGGTCTGCGTCAATTGTGACGTTATACGTAATGACTATGGTAAAAATCATAAAAGACGTCCTTACAGACTTTTTCAAAGGAAAAAGCATCCCAGTTTTAATCGTGTCTTCTTGGGTGAAAGACAAGGAAATATAAAAACAGCGATTCTAGCTCTGGTGACGTATGTGACTATGGATACAAAGAAGTGTGACTCAAAGAGACGTGGCTGGAGTGGGGTGAAGTCCAGCAGAACAGCCACCAGCTGCTGGTGACGCTGGTGGAGTCAGCCCCTCACACTCTGGCTTCCAAGTGTCATTCGGAACACGACGGCACGAAAAGGAAGAAACAATTACTGAGCGCCCACCACGGAACACATTCTTCCACGTTACCTGACTCGAGTTCCACAGCTCTCTGGGAAAGAGGGCATCGGTACCCTAGTTTTCGGACAATGAACAGAATGAAAGAGGCCAATAATTCACCTCAGTTCACACAGTGAGGGCAAGAGCCGATACAAAATCGGGTGATTCGGAGGCCAGAGCCCATGCTCCTGCCGTCTCCGCAGGTGCGAGGGTTCACTGTACTCCAGGGGGAGCTGAGTGCCGCAGGGGAGCATGCGTGGGGCCGGGCGTGTCCAGGCGCTTTCCTGGGGAAAGGCACGCAGCCTGGCAGCGACGAGGTTCTGATCAGACGCTGTTGGCGTCCTCATTCTGCTTTTACAAGCGGTGTGAGTGCAGGCAGTGTGTTCAACCTCTTTGAACCTCCACTGACTCATCAATAGAACAGATAACGACACCAACCCAGGGAAGAGGAAATGGAAAAACCAATATGATAAAAACTGACGTCCGAAGCCAATGTCTAGCCCTGGCTGGTGTGGCTCGGTGAATTGAGCACCAGCCTGAGAACCAAAGGGTTGCTGGTTCGATTCCTAGTTGGGGCACATGCCTGGGTTCTGGGCCAGGTCCCCAGTGAGAGGCGCACAAGAGGCAACCACACACTGATGTTTCTCTCAGTCTCTTTCTCCCTCCCTTCGCCTCTCTGAAAATAAATAAATATATTGTTTTCAAAAAGAAACCAATGTCTAAACTCTCACCAGCTGAAGTCTGCTGACCGCAAGCTAAAATCGAGCAAGATCCGGCACCATTCGTAGCACCAACTGGGTAACTCGATCTCATTTTATTACGGTCAGTATTTTAAAGGTTGAGTAGACTTCTGAAAATGTTAACTGCAGATGTTACCTTTAGAATATCTACAGAAATGTTGTATGATTTTTCTTGCTCCAATGACTTAAGGAGATCAGCAAAGAAGGATAAAACATAAGAGAGTCAAGTGAACTAAAAACATGTAGTAAAAATAAGGCAAAGGAAAAGCGACGATGAGGCGGTGATCGTGGCCAGGACCCAGTTAGCACACACGATGCCACTGTTCCGTTTCTGTCCCTAGCAACTTGGGGAAGGCGGCACGGAGTCTCGGAGGCAGTAACTTTTTATTTCATTAACCTTGAACCTGCAGTGTGAACCCAATGCAACAGATAATGGAGACCCCACACTTCACAGATCCACACGTTAAGGCCATGAACACGGGAGTCACATCGTACATACTGCATGTCTGTGTGCACTGGCGTTATCAGGGAAGGGCAAAGGTGCCCAATAAACAGGGAGGCACCCAGAGATGCCAGACTGTGCGCAGAAGAGAGGAAATCCTCTGAGGGCAGGGACCCTCCTCCCGCCAGGACAGGGGACCCGTCGGCCATTTCCGCCACCCGACATATTTTCCAAACTAATCTTTGAGACGGACTCTTCCTCCTGTATTGAGATATCACTGACTTGTGAGAAACACCGTATACGTTTAAGGTGTAAAAAGTAGTGACTCCGTATCCATGTATGTTGCAAATTGGTAGTCACCGTAAGGTACCCACAACGCACCCATCACCTCGCAGTCACGACTTTATTTTCTGTGGGAATTGTCCCCCAGACAATGACTACAGTACTGCTGAGGACAGTCGCCAGGTTATCTGTTACTTTGGGCCACTCAGCGTGCCCACAGTTGCGCAGGTGGGTGTGCAGGCAGAGCTGGGTCGGCGTTTGAGTGCGAAAGGAATGTGCCAGACAGGTGTGAAAATGGGGCAGTACGGACAGTGTGCCAAGAAGTGACCCGGACCGCTGCTTCACGTGCTCAGCCTCCACGCTGACAAACAGCCTGCTTCTCTGTTTTCAGTCTTCACACGAGTTTGTTTGTTTACTGCGGAGTGAAACACCTGGAGGAGCTACCGGCGCCTAAAGTTTAGGGCCCGAGACGGATGCAGAGGGGACAGAACCCACAGGGCAGCAGCAAAGAAGGTCACCAACCGAATGTGAAGCCGACTGCTGCGCGTGGCAGGCACCATGGCGGGCGGGGTGGGATGAGGGGGCAGTGTGGCGATGAGGAAAGACGTGAGAGAGGAGGCGGACCCCAGCCAGGCCCCGAGATGCCCGGGCCAGTCCGAGAGACAACACCAATTCCTGCTGACAAGGGCCCACGGGTTTCCTCCCTGTCCCCGGCTGAGAACACATCTCAGGCTTCTACTCAATTCTGTGGTTTTAGAAAACGAAAGACACAGGGCGAGAATTATGTGTCCTTTTGTGTGGCTGTCACCATCTCGTGCTCACTGAGTCCCGAAGAGCAGGGCTGATGTCTGGTACTCACACCGACACCTCTACCCGGCCACGGCACAGAGGCCCACGGGGGCGCAGGAAGGGGAAGTGGGGCCAGCCCAGGTTTCACGGAGGGGCCTGGGGGGCAGAGACACCCGAGGGGTACAGTTGGGTGGCCCCGTGACTATGGCATAGAGGCTGCAGCTCCGTGCAGCAGATTGTCCCCTGTGGGGATGACGGAGGAAGGCCACTCGGGGTGTCCAACCTTCTGGCCTCTTGGGCCACACATTAAACACACAAACACTAACAAAAACTGAGGGGCCAGAAAACAAAAGGTTTTAAGTAGATTTACGATTTTGTGTTGGGCCACCTTCATAGCCATCCCGGGCTGCATACGGCCCACGGGCTGCGGGTTGGACACGCCCAGAAAGCTCCCCGCCCGGTGAGCCCTTCCCAGGCACAGCGCATATGTGGCAATCGAAGTGTCTGCAAGTAAAACCCTCATTTCTTTTGGTTGCAAACCCAAAGCGCAAGCTGCATTCAGGACTGAAGGCCTTCAAGCAAACCTGCCTCCACACGGGTTATTGCGAGTCCACTCACCCACTTGGCTGTCCTGCTCAGGGGGCCTGAACTTGGCGCTGAAGCAGAGCCCCAGGTGCACCTCGGCGTTCTTGTTGGACAAGGAGATTTTCTCTGGTGTGAATGAGGCATCTATAGACACATCAGCGATACTCTGCGACCTGAAAGATGCAGTGGAAACAGGTCGATGGCCGCGCTGCTGGGGGCCACACAGGGGACCAGGGCCACCGTTTCCAGTTATGCTCTCCACCACTGTCTCGGCACTCCAGCAGTATTTTATATCGGAAAGCTCTAAGATGGTGGAGGGGTCATGTTTTTTGTTTTGTTTGTTTTTATCCTCACCCAAGGACACTTTCAGAGACAGGGGAAGGTTGCGGGTGGGGAGAGTAGGAGTGGGGGAGACAGAGGGGCAGGAGAGAGAGAGAGATTGAGCTATGCGAGAAACATCGATTGACTACCTCCTGTCTACACCCCCAACTATGGATCAAACCCATAACCTAGGTAAGTGCCCTGACTAGGAACTGAACCCGCAACCTTTTGGTGCACGGGGTGATGCTCCAACCCACTTAGCCACACCGGCCAGGGCCACCTGGGCAAGGTGCTCCACCTGTGAGCTCTCTGAAGGGCTCTCTATACACGTGGCCCCATTGCTTCTACAACACGCCCATGCAACAGGCAGGACAGACGTCGCGGCCACTCAGCAGAGGAGAGTCTGAGACACGAAGACGTGTGCAACTTCACTGAGTGACAGGTAGCAGGAAATAGTGGCACGTGAGCTGTGAGAGCCCACGGCGCCTTCATCGCATGCCCGGTGGGATTTGTCCTTCACCAGGCGACCCCTTGTACACCCCTTCAGTGATTTACAAAGCAGCAAGCAGACATCGATAATTTCCCTGTTCCTAAACGGACTCCAAGAAGACAGAAAAAACATTTCCTTTTAATTTCAGGGTGTGAGTCTGTTGAAAAGTTATTTTGATAGTTTCTCAAGCATCTACCAGGCCCCCGAAAAGCAGCCAGAAAGCGTCTCGTGAGCGACGCAGCCTGCCCACACACCCACTCAGTCTGCAGTGTCTGGGGGGGGTCTTGTCATCAGGTCCTGGGATCCCAGCACTTGTCCCAGTAGGAATGGCAATTACTTTGTCTTGTCTTTAAAAAATTATTCTCAGGCCCTGGCTGGTGTAGCTCAGTGGATTGAGCGTGGGCCTGTGAACCAAACAATCGCGGTTTGATTCCCAGTCAGGGCACATGCCTTGGTTGCAGGCCCAGCGGGAGACACACAAGAGGCAACCATACATTGATATTTCTCTCCCTCTCTCCTTCCCTTCCCCTCTAAAGATAAATAAATAAAATCTTTAAAAAAGTAAACATTATTCTCAGGAAGTCACCCAGAAAAACCTGTCTCGGCACCTTCTAAGAATGAGACCACAACATGCCCTTGACCCAGCTTGACTGAACTTCAATAAACTGACTTCATGTGTCTTGACTGTTTTAAAGTATCAAAGTCGCCTTCCAGGAGAAAGGCTCGGCCACCGCTGGCTACAGGAGCAGCGGGACGGGAGCCCACCCTGGTGGCCACGGTGACGTCCACTGGAGGTGGGAGTCCTATTGCTTGACGTCAGTCACATGTCACGTCATTACACCCTGCACTTTCCAATGGGGTGCGACTCTTCACTGATTTAACTGATTTTATTCAGTAAACGCTTCCTTGTTTTTAAAGTCTTAAACCTGACCCTCGGGTTTCATTTTTCCACACAAAGATTTCATTAAAACAATGCATTTTGTGCTTTAAAACCACAAGTGAGACCCTCTAAACAGAATCACCGCACTGAGAAACGACATCCTGTGGGCTTTTTGTTCCTCAGGCACTTGGACACCGAAAGCACGTTTTTCAACAGCAACAGTGAGCGACCCCCGGGGACTCCTGATCGAGCTCTCGGTTTCTCTCTGATTCCCTTTCCGCACCGGCCCTGCGTGCTTATTTTCGTCCTTGAACCACATGGCCCCCGAATCCCTAACGGTCCCTGCTCCTCAGCTCCTCCGGGGTTCACGGGGAGGTCACTAGACCTACATAACAGCTTCTTGCTGGTGACTAATAATTCTGAAAGGTGCCTGTTAACCACACGAGGAGCAGCACCCCCCTCGCGTGGTCTGAGCGCTCGGAGTGTCTAGGCCACTCCCCACAGGCTGCCCGGAGGCCCTGGGCGGAGTGAGGTCAGGCTGCTTGGGGATCTCAGGTCCCTGGGTACCGCTTCCTGGGCTTTGTCTGTGCCCTGCTCGCCTCCACGTGCACAGAGAGAAGAGGCCCCGGAAGCTGATGTGGAGCAAGTGGTTTCTATCCCCTACCGGGGGAAATGCGCTCCTTCTATGCCGACCAAGACACCTTGGTGTCCCAGCGTCTCCGACAGCGCAGAGCATGTGGTGTTCCTGCGTGACCGGCACAGCGGTCTACCTGCTTCTCAGGCCTGGCGTCTCCCGCTGCCCCGTGCCTGGCTCTCCCCGACTCACCAGAGCTGAACCACGCGCCCGAAGGCGCCCACGGACACGTCGGTGATGGAGTCCCCATTGAGATCTCCGTGGCCGTCCAAGGACCTGCCGAAGAACTGCAGAGGGCTCCGGAAGGCTCTGTCGGATCCCAGGATTTTCTGAAAGGACACGCGTGACATGAAATTACGGGGCGCAGCAACTGAGACGGACAGCCCCTCACCTTCTCTACACGGCCACGCCCAGGGGGCCTCGGTCTCCGTAAAACCCCACTGATTTTTCAGGCTCTCCTTATCTGATCTTTTTTTCATTCTTGAAGCCACGTTTTCATCAGAGAAACAGCACGAATCTTTTAACATAAAATCACAAACCAGCAGTTGCAGTGGAGGAGCAGCAGCTTGGGAAGGAGCTGATCAAGTTCAAGTCCGAGTCCAATCTGGCTTCCCTTCCTTTAGGTCTCTACTCCAAGGTGCTTCCCCTCCCCCTCTGAAACACCTGATACCTCCCATCCCCAAAAGCTTATTCCCTGTTTCATTGAAAGTATTCCTTCTCATTTATTACTATCTGGAACTCTTTATCTTATTTATCTTATTTTTCCTCTGTCTGGTCCACAAGAGCGGATCAGTAAGATCCGAGAAGAGCAGACGTTCGCCCGGGTCTCTGCAGCGTCCGCAAAGCCTAGGACAGTCCTGGCCGTTGGTAGGAGCTCGCTGAGCAGTGACCGAATGAGGGGATACGTGGAGATGAGATATGATGAGAGGGGATACGTGGAATGAGGGAATACGTGGAATGAGGGGATACAGCTGTAAGATGAGAAGCGTGGAGCGGAGGGTCCGGGTAATTGCCTGTTGCTCTGGCACATGATACCAAAGCGTGAACACGCCGCCATGAAACCCACGCCTCACCTGGGAGCACTTCGTGCGGATGGTGCCCTCGTGGCCATTGTAGATGTACACGGCCCCGGAGTTGTGGTTTTCCAGGGGCGCCCCGACAATCACATCGTTAAGGCCGTCCATGTTGACATCCGAGAGAGCCGCGATGGCCGAGCCGAACCGAGCATTTTCAACGCCCTCGGGGCCTTCCAGAAGCTGGTGCCAATTCAAAACACCCTTGCAAAGGGAAAAGGGCAGGATTAGAGCCAACCTGACCGTGTTTGCAATGAAAATTTACAGCAAATGATGGCCGAGCCGATTTGCAAACTGGTAAATGTGCCTAGAGCTGTAAACCTCGAACTCAAAATTCTCCAAACCTGATAAGAATTTCAAGTAATAACTTTTGTAAGTGAGGTCATAGGACGTGGGGTCATAAGTCAAGGTGAAAGGAGGGAATTCTCCTTAGTGACACAAACTACCTAAAATATCCATTCCTTTATTTCCTTTCCCCCTCAGGATGAACATCTTTAACTGTTTCTAAACCTCTCGATTTAAAATTTTTCTGGTGAAAATTGAATGTTCTGGATACAATTAATGTACAGGCAAAATAAAATATAATACCTTAATTTTAGACCTTTATATAAAACTTACTATACAATGGCATCATTATAATGGTATAGGAAGTGAACAAAGAGACTGTTAATATACATTATAAGAAACACTAAATAATCCCACCCAAAGGAAATCCATTTCCTTGTGAAAGACACAGATGTTGCGACAGGTTTTGAAATGACGAATGGAAATACGTCATGACTTCACAAGAAAAGCAACACTGGTCACCATGGAACTGGATCAGTGCTGATCCTTTCTCCTCCACAATCACCCTCTGGAATTGGTTTGCTGCCAAGTTTGAGAAGGTACTGGATCTTCTCACCTTCTGCAGTTAGTGATAATTCAGAACAGCTGACAAGCAAGAACTATTTAAGAAACTGAGATCTGGTACCTTTTCAACCAAATAGGTACGCCCTTTCCTTATTAGATGCTCAACTATACATTCTCTATAGTCTTTAGAATGGTTTTAATTGCTTCTGCTCAAGGTAATTTCACATTAATTTAAATAAGTAAGTCAGGGCAAAACACCACATCAATAACACAGTATTTACTGTATCAACAGCAGCTCCTCTTCTCCCTCCCTCTTCTCTGTGGTCATCAAATTTCCACATCACGGTCCTTATGTGGATGGATGTAGAGAGCTTTGTCTTTGAGTTGGAAAAACTGTTCTTCTGTGTTAGAGAATGCTGAGTTCTATGTGCAAGGACTGGAAAGTTCAACAGTTGAACATGTACCTAAATGTTACACTAAGCAATGGAATTTCCTGACTAAATGAATACAGAAAGCGTCTAGGATTATACGGAGGTTTCCAAAGTGCCTGGCACAATCTGCCCATTTCAGGTGACAGGTTAGTAAGATTACTTTGAGCTGTTATCATTATTTCTTTACAGCAAAGAAGAATAATTGGGTAAGGTACTTGGAGAGTACACAGATGTTTGTGTGCGTGCATGTGCGTGTACTTAAAAATGATATGCACTCACAACGACTTTATTTGTGTAAGAGAATACATATTAAAGACCTCTTGTGGAAAATGTTCGTGCGTAATACATTAAGTTCTAGATTCATGTAATTTTAAAAATTACAACTAAATGGTGACATCCTTAAAATGAAGACATACGATCCATACTATACATGAAAATCATTATTCAGTGATAATAGATTCTCTTTAAGTAAATGCAAAAGTGCAGATTAACTCTTATTTACCAAAACTAACACTGATAAAGCTGGCGCAGCGGTTTTGTTACCTTCGTGATGGTAAACAGGTAGACCCGCCCTTCCTCCTTCTTCAGGTCGTTCATGTACGTGGGCGCCCCCACCAGGAGCACATCCGTCACGCCGTCTCCATCCACGTCGACCGCACACAGCACGCTGCCGAAGTAGGAGCCGATCTGGAGCGAGACAGCACAGCCACCTCAGGATTCCTGGGACCCGCACCGTCCTGCTATCACACTGACCTTGTGCTTCCTCATTCGACAAAAGCAAAGTGGGTGCTTACTCCTGGGAAGGTGCTAGAAACCTACAGATGGAAAACATCCCCTTCTCTCAGGCTGCATCATCGTCACATACTCAGCTCTTAAACCGCAGGGTACACACAGACCACCAAGAAAATACCTGTAAAAATACTGATTCCTGAGACCCACTTCTAGGGATTCTGAGGCAATGCCTGGGATAAGGTCCCGAAAGCAGTATTTTTATAAACCCTCTGGGTGTTTCTGATGCTGGTGGGTCAAAGGCCACACTTGGCAGCCACAGCAGGTGTGTTCCAGAGAAAAGGGGGAAGAGGAGAGAAAGGGGGAAGAAATGCCGTGTTTCCGTGGAAAAAGGTGTTCTAATAGAGGAGAGGACCAAGTATCGTGTGGCCGGGTCGCAGGGAGTCAGGAAGGCTTCGGAAGATCGAGTATTGCAGGCATGGCATCCTTAAAGACGCCAAGGAGTGTTCCGAGTGGAGAGGGGCAGACAACGTGGGTGAGGTCGGTGTCCCTGGCCTGATCGGGGACAGGAGGGTCATCCCTGGACAGGTTGGGGTGGGGCAGTTAGAGGGAAAGGAAGTGAAAGGAGACAAGCGAGGAATCCGAATGCTCGTCCCATTCGGGCGTGTTCGGCGCACGCCCCGGGAATACCTCTGAAGCGTTTGGAAACGAGTAAGAAATGATTTCTTCTGCAACACTTTCATTGTTTTTTTTTCCTTCAAAATCAAAGCACCCTTTTACAAAATATTAAAGAGGAGGGAAAAGTATGTGACCACAACTGGTCTGTGGTGAAGAAAGTTGAAGACTCAGGTCTTCCTAGTCCTGGAAAACCCAGAGACCGTGGGATTGGAGTCACTCCCACAGAAGAGAAATCTGCGCAGGTCGCTTTCTCCAACACGGGGAGAAAATTTTGGGGGGCCGTTGGAGACCCATAATGCTCATCACTCATAGGTGCCTGGGCCACGGGTCCAAGCTGCTCAGATAGAGTCTATCTGTCTGCTCACCTTTGCTCCCAAGGGCCGCGCCCAAGACAGTTGGAGCCATTTACTATGAAACTGTCACACCTCAGGGGAAAGTGGCCGAGAGGAGAGTCCCTTTCTGAGCGACGGGACCCCACTCCCTTCTCATTATTTCTCCTCCAAACCCTCGGCTCCTGGCAGGGGCTTGCCCACTGACCAGTGGCTGGGTGTTCATCGTTGCGGCTAAATGATGCCCCGAGTTCTCAACCCGGGAGTTGAAAGTGTGGAGTAGCGAGTGGACAAACGTCACAGGCTATGAGGCCAGCTGGGACTGGGTTTGGACGGCAGGTCCACCCGTGAAAGCGACGTGACCTGGGACGCTAGTCGACCTCTGCGGAGCCTGGCAGGAGGAAGCGGCAGGTCCCCTCGCTGCTGGGAAGACTTCGGGGACATTGGAGCAAACGCAGATGGCTGAGTCACAGGGCAGGCCCTGAGGGAGCGCCGGTCTCCCCCCGCCTGCCCGCCTGCCCCAGCTCTGCCTGCAGTCAGTGTCACCTGCTAAATGACGGGCTCTTTACCTGGTCGCCTCTGTGAGCCTGAACAACGGTGACGTTGCCGCTCTCGCTGACACGGTACAGCACTATCTGGCCGGTGTAATTTGCCCGAGGAGCACCCGCGACAAAGCGGACCCCCTTTCCAGTAGAGATGGCGGCCACAGAGTAACCTAGGAGAGACGGGGTCACGGACTAGTAGGTGGCCCGGACGGGCTCCCCTGGCAGAGGCGGCCAGAGGCCCCTCGCAAGAGCTGCGAGGCGCAGCTCCGTGTCCCGAGCCTGCCACCCAGGGCACATCCAGCTGTTTCTGGGATGAGCTGCACCTGCACTTTGACCCACGGCCCTGCCCTGCGCAGGCAGCACATCGGACTCCAGGTTCTGGGTTGTCCCTCCCACCAGCCACTCATGTACCCGGCCTGCCACGACTGTTTCTCTAACGAGTCACCAAATGGGTAAAAAGGGAGAGGTGCAGAGTGGGGAGAACACAGGCCTGGGAGTCGGACAGTCCCCCCCGCCCCCCGACGCTGGATCTCTCACCTCGAGGCAATTATTAGGCTCGCTGGCTCTCAGAGGCACAATGGGGACGATGAGATCCCCCCTCTCAGGGCCCCCCTCCAAGGGCCACTGGAAGGGTCTCAATGTTCATGTAAATGTCTGTTGACAGCTCAGGCGCTGCCCCAGAGTAAGTGTGCAAAACCAGAGGCGGCCTGTCCTGGGAACAGAAGACCGAGGACTCTGAATTTATGCACGACCATCGCTCGCTGTGTTGGCTTTTAGAAACCATTTCCACTTTGGAGAAACCCAGGACCATCACCACCCAGAGAGCCAGAGGAGATCAGCGAGTGTAACACAGGTTTCGTTAAGGGGTTATGGGCTGAGGTCTGGTTGGAGACACAAAGACTGTATAATAAACGAATAAGTAGATGACAGTTAAGGCCCTGCTGAGTTGACCCTGAGACCCGGCAGCGGCTCGTTGACAGGAAGGGGCGTCAGGTTTCGGAGCCCGGTGCTGCGTGCCTCACCTAGGTAGGAGCTGTGGTTTCTATCCTGCAGAATCTCCTCGAAGGCTTCCTTGGGGAAGATCAGACGCCTGTGAGGCATCTGCTGAACCACGGTTCCGCTCCAGTCGTAGGCGCCGACGGCACCCAGCATCAGAACATCCTGGAACAATGGAAAAACGAAGAGGGCAACAAATCTCCTTTAAACATAAGAACTCAGCACAGGCAGAACGCTGAAATCAGCTGCCTTGTCTAAGAAAAACCTAAGCACGATGAGGTGATATCACACAAATGTCTGTGATCTATTACAGAATTGCTGTTGTGCTGGGAAATGAGCCTTCCCGCAGTCACACTCCCGTGGCTTTATTTGCTATCATGCACCACATAGACAAAGCTCTATAATGAGCGATAATCAGAGGGGCGTACGGCCAAACTCAGACCTCCACTGGAAGCCGCCCGTTGGCGAAGTCCGAAGTTGCGAGCCTTTGGGGAGGAGTCACCAGGAGCCTCCAGTCTCAGGGACTCGCAGAGAAGCGCCCAGTGGGGTGCAAGGCAGCTCGAGAAACAGGAAATGCGCCCCCATCATCTCTCTCCTGTCCCCTCTACTTGAAAACAGCACAGCTACACAAGCCACATTGGTCCTGCTACATTGGTCCTGACCAGTGTGGTTCAGTTGGTTGCAGCATCATCCCATAAACCGAAAAGTGGCCGCTGGGACTCCTGGTCAGGGCGCATGCCCGGGCTGTGGGTTTGCTCTTCGGTCTGGCCTCGTACAAGAGGTGACTCATCAGCATTTCTCTCTCACATCAACGTTTCCCTCCCTTTCTTTCCCCCTCACTTCCTCTCTCTCTAAAAACTAACAAATAAAATCTTTTTTAAACAGGGTGCCCATTAGATGGGTGTGATAGCCCATCTAATGTCAGGGAACTGCCACGGGCCAGCCCCGGTGGGGGCGGGCGGAGGACGCCAGCTAGTGTGGCCGGACTGTACCCTGACCTGAATAGTCAAACCTGCGAGTTTTTGAAGAACACAGGGGTGATGGAGATGGGATTTATTATTTCTAAATTTTTGATCTTACACATCAGGAAAAATTTTGAACTGAAAAATATGAGCCATTAAAAAATAGCAAATTGGGCAATGCTGGATTTGAGAGCAGGAGACCATGTAACCATGTGAGTGACCATCGTAAATCCAGGATTCAGAATCTAGGGAATGGCAAGGGGCCTCAGGGAGACTCCAAAGCCTTCAGAAGCTTGTGTTAAGAGTTCTGTCGGGGGAAGACCCATGACTTGTACAAGTATCTCTGAAGACTGGTAACCCAGGAAGCGTCAGCACCTTTACCTCCAGGGAGAAAATGGTCCGTGTTTCTGATGCACTCTGCTGAGTGCACGCTGCCCCTGAGTATTTCGAGGTGTCCCCTCCTCCTGCTGCGGCTCCCTCACAACCCCGGGCAGACCTGGACTCGGAGGCCTGGGAGACGGCTGTTCCGGAGAACAGCCTTCCCTGAGCTAAGAAGACGTCCCGCCTCATCACGCTTTCCTAACTCCTTCCCTTTTCAACTGTTTCCTGTCTCCACTCTCAGAGGGAGACGTGACGACTCAGCAAGGACGCTGGGGACAAAGATCAGTGGCTTTGATCAGTGGCTAGTTAGTTAGTCCAAAGGAAATTCCTGCAATGATAATACCCCGAATTAACGTCGTGCCCATTCTGAGCACTCAAAGGCTTCCTTGTACATGATCATCTTTTTTTTTGCATACAAAATCCCTGTGAAATCGGGAAGGGAAGGCATGATTAACCCTTCGTGTTTAGGTGGCAAGTCAGCAGCACAAGTAGTTATGACTCTGACTGGGAGTCATAACTGTAGGTCACCAGGTGGCTGTGTTTCCCAGGGGAGGGGCACAGCTACCACGCCCACAAGGGTTGGGTCTAATGACACCACAGCAGGAAGTCACACATGATATACACACGTTTTCAGGAGCGTAGTCTGCGCTGAATCCCACTTGTGACATTTCCATCTGGAACTTATCTCCTCCTTGAACAGTGCCTGGGAAGTGGCAGTTTCCAGAATTAGATGGCAGTCATCAATTCTGAGTCGATTCTTCAATCACACACACACACACACACACACACACACACTCACACACACACACTCCTGAGGTTCTGAGGTTTGCTCACAAATACAGAGCTGGCAGGTCGGAGAGATCACTAAGGAAGTATCCCAGCAGACGTGGAAATCCTCACTATTTCCTCAGCAGAGCTTCACGTTGTCATTACTCTTGATTACGTAGGAACACGCTTATTGACATGAAGTTTCAGATGGCAAAGGACACTCAATTTAGGGGATGGGGGAGATGAAAACTGAGCCGATGGCCTTTTCGAAAATAGCCTATCATTACTAGCTAAGAAATTCTCTGCACTTTCAGCTTTAAATATTGGTACTAACATTTAGCTTTTAAATGTCGGAACTAATAAGTGTGCGCCCATCTCAGGTGGCAGGTGATGTGCGGTGCCCACGATACTGACAGGTGCGGGGGTCAGCCTGCAGGGACCAGCAGTCAAGGCTGAGCAGGAATGAGCCCCCTTCCCCGGGGAGTTTGACCCAGTTCAGCACATGCGGTGCCTCCAACTCAGCCCCAGGAGACTCAATTAGCATCGTTTCCACACATCGTGGTCACAATGGGTCTCATTAATCCTGGCAAACATAGAGCTGAATTCTTGGAGCGCCATTTTTACAGCGAGGAGACCAACTGTACCCCGCGACTCAGTAGCTTGTTTAGAGGATGTGATCATTGACGCGGCATGAGTAGGGATCATTCTCACTACAGTGCCGCAGAGCTGCCCCCAACCTCGTCCTGGCAGGTAACACACACGCTCATTTGTAGGGAGCTTTCAGACGGCATCAAGGTTGTTCACACTCATGCCACCACAGAAGAACAAAATTATGACAATAGGCAGCCAAATAACTTCATTCCAGGGCATGTGAGATTTTGACAATGATCTAAACAATTCTGGAGCCCCATGGGACATTTAAGAAGCAATATGACTTTTTGGATAGGACTTTCCAGTGGACAATTAGGAGACTAAGATGTGACTTAGGAATGAATACTGAGTTGATCCAACTCCCTTGGACCTGGTTTCAGAAGCAGTACTCATTATATAGTAGGTGCTCAATAAAATATGCTATTTACTGCCAGTAGTTATTTGGGTTCACCGTAAGGAGCCAGGTCTGGGGTCATATGGGCCTTTTTCCCAACTGGAGTTTGTGTCCCAGTCGTGTCTACAAGTGACATCTGGAACACGGGCCATCTCTGCACTGGCTGGACCTTCTGGGGCCGTCAGTGTGCTGTTGTCGATTGGACAGATGCCTCCTTGAAGCCCTAACTACTGACAATTTTCACCGCATTTTTCTAATTTTAAAAGGATACATGTTTATAAACAAATCCCAAAATTTGTGAAATTAGGTAACACAGTGTTAAAAAGTAAAACTTCTTACAATTATAAAAACACCAGCGCCAAAAGGTAAGTTCTTCCCAAATGTTATAGAATTTATAACGTCATCAAGTCTGAGCTTCTTGCTTCCCCATAGTCAGTCCAAAATTAAACATGACTAATCTCTGTTATCTTTTACACACCAAGTCACAGGGATTTAATTTATGCTTTTAAATAATTGGGAAGATGTTCTTATGTTTCTTGGCCATTTGTATCTCATCTTGTGTAAGACGCTTATTCACAATATCTGCCTACTTTGCTTACTGACTTGTAAGAGTTCTTCTCGTACGAGGCACACACGTGACCACTCACAGAGCAAGCATGCGGCCAGAACTGCGAGTTCTTGGAAGGGGTGTTTGGAAGCAGGCAGCTGCGAGGACTCCTTTTACCTTCGATGCTGAAAATGTGCTCTCCTATCGTTGCGGCCTTCTCCAGTAGGCCTGCCTCGTCGGACACATTGAAGAAGTATCTTTCAGTTGGAATGCTGGCAATGGCTTTAATTTCTTTTATTAAGTTTTTCGTATCAAGGGCATTTCTGTTTAGGTACCCTAGAACCTTGAAAAGAGAGGGAGAAGGGGGAATGGCCATTGTCACCGTGCTTCAGTGTGACCCGCAGCGGTCTCTGGGCAATTCCTGACCATCACCGACCCTCTGGACGAGGGAACCCCACCCCCCTGATTGACAGGACTGCCACCAGCAAGAAGCAGAAACAGGGTAAAAAAATTCTTTTACATCAAGCTTTGCGAACCGATGAGAAAGGCAGTCTTGGGAAGTGATGTTACAAAGGAACATGTACCCATCCATGGAAGGATAACTAAAAGAAAGCACTTAGCCCTGGCTGGTGTGGCTCAGTTGGCTGGACGTTGTCCCACAAACCAAAAGGTCGCCAGTTCAATTCCCAGTCGGGGAACAGGCCTGGGATGCGGGTTCAATCCCCAGTCAGGGTATACACGGGGGGCACCCAATCGGTGTTTGTCTCTCACCTCAACAGGTTTCTCTCTCCCGCTCCCTCCCCCTCTCTCTAAAGTCAGTGAGCATGCCCCCCCGGGGAGGAGGCACAGAAAGGCACTTACTGCTATGCCGAACCTCAGGATGTTGTACTCGTTACACTGCTCGATGACGTCTTTCAACATGGAGCCGTCATGCGACTCCCCGTCGGTCACGACCACCATGACCCTGGTCGCGCCTGGCCGTCCCCCTGCCTCCGGCGTGTAAGCGAAGTCCCTGGGGCAGACAGAATTAAAGACTCACCACCAGCACAAGACGTTAAAACGGGGGCCTCTTCTTGGGAACAGACACACAAAACCACTCTGAGCCCAGCCCATCGTGACTGAGGTCTTCCCTCCACGTCAGCCTGGAGACCTGCTGAGGGCTGGCAGCTTGTAGAGGAACATAAACATGGAACTCTTGCTAGGCCACAGAAGGAATTTCCATGGGTTCCATGGTGTGTGTTACGTGTGTGCACACGTGTACTTACATCAGGAACCCTTAGAATTACCTTCTGATAAAATTAAATTCATTAATACTAATCAACATCAAAAATACTCGAAGTTGTCAAATTTTACTCATCGAATCGGAATTTACTTTTTCAATGCGATTTTTTCTAAAGCAGGTGTATGCAGTAAAAAAGCATTTGGAAAGACATACAATGAAGACCTGACACGGAGCTCCCATCCTGAAAGTGCTCGCTAGTTTCCTGTCGTGTGTCCCAGAAAATGTTCTGTCTCCATGGATATGGGCTGTCCACCCCCGAAACCAGGGTTGTCCAACCTCCTGGTGTCTCTGTGCTGCGCTGGAGGAGGAAGGGGTGTCCCGGGCCACATTTAATACAGTGGGACACACAGTCACACAAAGTCTCATTGTGTTTTACATAAATTGACGGTTTTGTGTTGGGCTGCCTGTGGCCCACAGGCCGCAGGTGGGACTCCCCTGCACAGGGCGTGGTCGGGAGGGGAGCCTTGGTGACAGAGTCCTTTCCCTCCGTCAGCAGGAGGGACACCCTCACTCCTTCTCCTTCGCCTGCCGGACGTTGCAGCGTTGGGAGGTGTTCCAGCTGTGGAGCCGATTCCCGGTTTCCGGGCGTTTAGGCCACTTTGAACTTCTCCACTAACGCTGTAATAAACGCCCTTGTGTATCTGGGTTTGCTTTTTCAAACGTACATGTACAATTAAATAACTGGAACAAGGCGTATATACATTTCCAATTTTGACAGGTAGTTCCAAATGGACCTTCAAAACTTTCAAGTGATTTATATTATCATGAACGTATGACAATACATTTCCCTGCCTCCTTTCCTTAAAAATGAAGATTGTTTATTTACTTTTATTTTTTAAAGATTTTATTTATTTATCTTTAGAGGGGAAGGGAAGGAGAGAGGGAGAGAAACATCAACGTATGGTTGCCTCTCATGAGTCCCCTGCTGGGAGCTGGCCTGCAACCCAGGCATGTGCCCCGACTGGAACAATGAAGACTGTTAAACCTTTAAATTTGGGGCATTCTGAGAAGTGACAAATAATTCATAGTTATAGTTTTAATACGTATTTTTATGAAGAAATAATGAGAATTTTATATGTTTATTATCCATTTGTATTTTTCTCTAGGAACTCTATATTTTTTATATCTGTCCACATTTTTTGGTGTGTTCATCAGTTTCTTAGTGACTAGTAAGATATTTTGTTAATAAAGAAAATTATTCTTTGTCATATATATTGTAAGTAATTTCAACTTATTGATCTTTTGAATTCTGCACAGAAATCTTATATTTTGATATAATCAAGGCCATTAACTTTTTAGTGGCTTTTTTATGTCTGACACAGTATTTCAAAAGAACTTCTTAACTCTTGGCCCCTTTTCAAGTCACCCACGGTCTTCTGCAGGCCTTTGAGGCCCATGGAGAGTCACCAGTTGACAGAAGCAGTAACTACAGTGTAGTGAACACGCAGGAAAAAGAAGGAGCGGAGATGAGAAAATCGGAACAGAAACGCGGGGATGCAGTGACTGACGGGATGCGTGGCCTACAGCGGCACAGAAGGGACAGACGCATCATTGAATTCTCCGTCTCCAGGCCTGGAGGAAGGGGCGTGGCCAAGAATGCCAATGACAGAAGCTATGAGCAGGGGTCAGAGACAGAATCAGGCCAGTAGTTCAGGAGGCCCGGATTTGAAAAGCACCCTACACTGTGGATAAAGTGAAGCAGCATCAGCTGGCTGCTTTGTGCGCTCCGGGAGGGTGCTGAGCTGACCGCGCAGCCACGCGGTGACCCACACAGGGCCGGGTCACGGGAATGGACACAGTGCCTCAGAGAAAAGCGCTGGGGAAACAGAGGGCTCTGTCAAGTGCAGGAAACACAGGACAAGGAGCCACAGTGTAGAGGCAAAACCGTCGACAAAAAGTTGGCGGGGATTCTAGACATTTGTGGGGACCTGGCAACAGGACAGGAAGCAGTGGGTTCTCATTGTTGTCAAATGTCCGGGGAAGTGAAAGGACGAGGTTCGAGGCAGGGCCGGTGTGTGGACGGGTGGCGAAGGGCACCTTCCATCTCCCTGCCTGGGGGCAGAGCCATGTGCTTCACGGAGGTCGAGGGAGGAAGTCCAGACACTTGAGAAATGAATAGTGATGGAGGAAAGAATGCATAAGAGGCACAGGGTGGAAAGTGGGTTTAAAGGAAGGTGAGTGCATTGTTCTCATTTATTTTTTAACAGTAGGGCAGCATCTGGCATTTTTGTAAAGGTGTCTGATCGAAACAGAGTGACGACGAAGCTCCGTGGTGCTGAGAAAACAGACTCTGAGCTGAGAGTGAGGATGCTGCCCAGAGGTGAAGCCACACAGCCCGGAGGGTGAGGAGCGTCCGAGTCCCTTCCACTGGGTCCGCGTCTTAGGTGGTTAACGCTGAAGACCCTGGGCCCCCCTTCATCTGCATCAAGCCCTCCCTGGGCTCCGGTTGCCTGTGGCTTTGATAATTTGAGATTGCTCCGCTACCTACTGCTTTAACATAAGGTCTTTTCGTTTCATTACATTATGCCATGTGAACTACCTTCTAAAAAAGTCCTAGAAATCAGGATTTTTAAACATCATTTCCTACTGTCTTTTCAAAGCGTTTCAGTTACAGGATATTTAAACTTTCTTCTTCACTATTTCTGATTTAGGTGTGGGTCCCAGGTATTCTACTTTTGCCTTTTCTTTTCCTCAGGCACAAACACTTCTACTTCATCAGAATCCTGGCCTGCCGGCCTCATGACTCACCTTGCATATTTAATTGCTTTGAAGGTATTTGTGAGGTCCCCACCATTCTGGAACGTCTGCGATGTTGCTGCTATCATTTTGGCTTTGGATTTAAAAGTGTTCAGGTTAAACACGACTCTTGGCTTGTTGGCATACTGAATTAGCGCCACCTGCAAGGGAGCAGAAGTTCATTAAAGGTTGCGAACTAAGTTATAAATCATTCCTATTTGATCAATATCATAAAAATTGAGCCCTGGCTGGTGTAGCTCAGTGGATTAAGTGTGGGCTGTGAACCAAAGGGTCGCCAGTTTGATTCCCAGTCAGGACACATGCCTGGGTTGCAGGCCAAGTCCCCCAGTGTGTGTGTGGGGGGCACGTGAGAGGTAACCACACATTGATGTTTCTCTCCCTCCCTTCCTCTATCTAAAATAAATAAATAAAATTAGAAAAAATAGAAAGTGCATTTAGACAAAGCTGATGGCTTAAGGGAATTATTTTCAGCCCTGTTTGTAAGAACAGTCATTTTTCTTCCAGTGAAGTAAGTTCTTTGTTAGAGGCTGTGAGTGGCGAGCAGCGCTCGCGGACGAGTGGGCTGAGGTGCTGCTGTGTGTGATCTGGTTCTCGAGAGCGACAGTTGTAAAATTTTAAGCACTGCCCTATAATATTACAATATAGATAAATGTTACAATAAAGTGAATAACAGGAAAAAGTGATATAAATTTTCTAATTAACAATGGGTGTAAACACGAGCATCCATATATGGAAGATGATACACCAATTCAGGAGAATATATGGCAAGCAGAGAATGAGAGTTCAAGACAATCGGTTATGGCTAATAAGCAATACGCTCAATCTGGATGCATTTACTGGATTTCCTCTCATCACACACGCGAGAAGCAAAGACGCTGCCTTTGCACCCGGGACGAATGCCGTTTGAGAGAGTCTGATCGGAGAGGGCGGAGAGGTGGAAGAACGTCTGGACCCGACGCCCGGGCACATAACCCTGACCCTTTACCTCAAGAGGGCCAAACCCTCCCGCTGCTGTCCTGCTCTCAGCCCTGGCAGCACCCCTATGCCGAGGAGTGGGGCTCCCAGTGCTGGGAGTGGCAGTGACGGGTCAGGGTCACAGGGTGAAGGAAGGTGGAGGGCAGAGCCGGGATCTCCGAGGCCCATCGGCTCCTCCCAAACGATGGCGAAAACATGATACTACCGGACCCCTCTCTGCAGGGGACGTTGTAAGGCTTAAGAGGGAGGGAAAGACCGAAAAGAACGCTGAGGCTTTCGAAGTCTAACGGGGGAGTAGATGGTGGCATGTCCCATGAATGGCCCCAGAACGTCGTGTGGGAACAGGGAAGGCCGACACAGGATGTGAGGAGAGGCCGTGCAGCAGGACTTGCAGAAGAGTCACATTTGGGTGATAAGAAGGGTAAAACCATCTCTGGAGAGGAGAAGAGGCATCGGGGCGGGAAGACGAGAAAGGCCATGGACTCCATTCGAGTGACTTGTACATCAAACAGGCCGCGTTACGGGGTCATCCACTCAGAGACGGAGAAGACAGCAGATGCGTGGGGAAGCTTCCCTTTCAAGGGCGTGAACGGAACCGCTCCCCAGAAACCAGGGCCACGCATCGTCTTACTTCACAGGAGTTTCTGCTAAAAGCCCACAGTGAAACCCTCACCGTTTTGGGGGTATAATCTCTTCCTGGCATGGAGAAGCAAGGTCAATGGGGAAAAGTCTAACAATTTTTTGAAAAACTTTATTTGTTTACTTTTAGAGAGGGGGGAGGGTGGGAAAAAGAGAGGGAGAGAAACATCAATGTGTGGTTGCCTCTTGCACGCCCCCTACTGGGGACCTGGCCTGCAACCCAGGCATGTGCCCTGACTGGGAATTGAACCAGGGACCCTTTGGTTCACAGCCTGCGCTCAATCCACTGAACCACACCAGCCAGGGCACAACTTTTTATAACACTGCATAAAAAGGCTGAAAAACAAACTTCAATACAGACGACTGAAAGGCATTTATTGGAAAACATCCCAATACTTGTCAGTCACTGCGGGACACCAGAGCATTGGTGGCAGCCCAAGGACACGCACGGTGACACTGGGAACTGGCTCCTGTGGAGAGCGGGTCAATGCGCTGCCACAAGGAGGACGACCCCTGGAGTGGCAGAGCCGGCGAGGCTACAAAAAACCCCAAAACCAAACGTGACTCAGTTTAATAGAAGCGTGAAGCTTCTGTTCTCGAGTTCCGGCTGTCCATCTCAAAGGACAGAAAAGCAAAGACTCCTTACAACATGGAGAAACGCTCAACATTACTGAAGAGACCTGACTGTATAAAAAGGAGGGTAGACTAGAGTAAAAGACTACAAAATAAATAGCAGAATTATGCTGTGCACAGACTGATTTGTAAAAATACCAGAACTCAAGGAAAACTGTTTAGCAGCAAGGAATAAAGGAAAGAAATTTATTATTAGTCCAGCGGGTATAAAAAAATCATATTGGATTTTAAAACATAGTATAAATTCATGAGTTAGGGGATGAAAAAACAAACCACAGAAGAGGATTAAAGAGGATTAAAATGTTCTATCCCTTATCTGATGCCTGTGCCAGAACTAGAAGTCCAAGTTCAAAGACCAGTACTGGCCAAAGTCACAGACAGAATAACCCGAGGACAGGCTCTGTTTAACTCTCAGGATCACCATTCAATCACGGGGAGGTGGCAAATGCAAATGCTAAGGTCTCATCTCCGACCCGTTACCTCGGGGTAAGGCTGGGTTAATCTATGCATTTGCGCTGTGTCCACACCTGCGTCTTTGTGGGACCTATGTCCAGGCCCTGCACGAACTTTTCCAGGAAGTTCTTCACCGCCTCCCAGGGGTAGATGCTGTTCGACTCGTCACACACCACCACGACATCTATGTAGGATGTGCAGGCTGCCAGGAGAGATGGAGGGAACCGAGTCAGAATCCGCACCATGTGCACACGCGACCGAGCAACACGGAGGTGAGAGACACCCGAGCGACACGCTGATAAACGCCCCCCACCCACTTTGGCGCAAGGCATTGCCCAGACCCTCTGCACCTCCTTCACTTACTCTGCACGGCCGGGGAGAAGCTGGCCAAGTGCTGGAAGTCGGGGCTGATGTCGGAGCACACGCCTGTTGTGTAATACTGGCTCCCGCACTGCTGCGCAAACAGGGGGCCGCACGTCTTCAAAAGAAGGGGAGCAAGGACAGAGCGTGGGAGACGGCTCCGCCCCAGAAACCCAGCCATCGCCTCCGTTCTTCTGCACCCTAGGGGCCGTCATCCCTTGAAATGAACAGGTCACCAACGCCTCTGAGTGACAGCGCGCCCGGCAGACGGAAGTGAGGGCGGGTGACGGGTGTGCTGGGCCGGATGGCAGGCTTGGGGAAGCGGGGCTCTGGGACCTCAGGGATGGGGGTCAGCGTAGGGGGAGCCCACAGGTCACCCAGCACGCTGGGGAAAAGGGGTGCTTCTGTTCCAGGGGACACCCAGGAGGAGAGGAAGAGCAACATTCACTTTCTGTCACTTGGTTGACTGTGTCTCGGGTGCTTCCCGTGAAAAATGAACATCAGTATGCCTCCCATTTGTTTAAGGAGGCTGTGAAGAGTAAATGGGTCTGTAGGTATAAAACACCCAAAACGGTGCTGGGTAAACAGCAAGTCACACGGAACTGTCAGCCAGCACCACTGTCGATGTTATTCATGAACACCCTTCCATGGGGTCTATTCAGCAGAAGCCATAAACTCCTACATCCCAAGGGCCAGGCAGGAGACCTGGAAGAGCACTGGGGGGCAGGTATGGACGGCAAGGGGAGTGAGGAATCAGGCCCCTGGCCCCGCTCAGGGGCCGCCAGATCCCCTGAATCCTCAAGGAGAGTCCGAGGGGACAAATTGTGTCTGAAAGTTCACTGTTTAAAAAAAAAACAACACTCCGTGCTAAGCAAACACAGATGGGGTTCGTGAACGGCCAGTTTGAAACTCTGCTAGAGAGTATTTCTCCGAGGACCCCGTGGACCGCGTGGAGAGACTCCGATGCTGAGTGTGTCCACCCGCCCGGTCCCCAGCCAGCCCTGCTCCGCGCTCCTCCCATGCCAAGGACTCCTGGTGCCGTCCCACGGGAAATATCAGGTTAATATGAAAGTCATTAGATGGAAAAGGAAAAAACCAGTAAGAGAAGTTCAGTCAGGATCTTAAAAAGCAGCTACAAAGTTCACTGTTGAGCTGTGGACTAATTATGAAAACTGAACAGCAGAGTGTGGGCTTGCAAAAGGCAATTGGAAGAGCAAAAGGAAATTTACTGGGCCCGGTTTAATTGCTGGTAGCGTGAAAGAGAAGGCAACAGCTGCAGTCATTTTTCATGCTCAGGGAGCAAAGAAGGCCAGGCTTTCCCTGCAGAACTGGCTCATCCTGCCAATTAGGGGAAGGTCATAACTGATGTGTTTGGCTGTTCACCAAGTCACAGATACCGATTATTGATTCCTATACCCTCGCCCCCGAGCTGATGGTTCTAATCACCTTGAAAAAAATAACTCATGAAGTATTCAAAAAAAAATTTTTTTAAAGCAATGGAAAACAGCATTAAGAAGTTGAAATCAGACTGTGCCAATTGTTAATGCCAGAACGACATTCCTGCCGTAAGCCCAGAATTTAAGCAGGTTCAAAAAAAATGTGATGATTGTCGGTGTTTTCCACATAATTCTTAAGAGTATCTTAAGATTTTTGATTTCTTAGGTATATAAAGAAAACTGGATTTTTTCTTTCTCCTTTTTTTCTTTCTCTCCCACACACCTGTCTCTCCTGCCCGCCCTCCCTTCCTCTCTGCTTGCTGCATGATTAAATTAATCTCTCTAATTCTCTTGCAATTTTACTTTATCTGAAGTTACAGGTTAAAAGTTTTGAAGCACATTCTATGTGAAATCCTTATGTCTCCATATATTTCTCCTCCTGAATGTATTCAATTTTAAAGATAAACAAACAAACCAAAAAAAAGATGAAGGCCACCCTATGATACGGACCCTGGGAGAGCAGAGCATGAAGATTCATCACTACCTTCATCTACGAACTGATGCGACGCGCGTGATGTAAGCCACACCTGATTCACCTGGTGGTACAAAGTCTGTCTGAATGCTAACATCTGCTGGAGAAAGTAGAAGGACATCGCTCAAAACCGAAGCTATTTTCAGGAGAGTGCAGTTATACACATAGGCTTTCAGGTTAGCCTGTCACAGATACAGTGAACGTAAAGTCAAGCTTTCTCAGGCTGCATTAACACCACGGTACAACTGGGCCTGTAAGAGCTGATGGGAACAGGAAGCACAACCGGACTTTTACTTGCCCTTAAACTTTCTTTCACCAGTGTACAATGGTTTTTTTTTTTTTATACAGTCAAATCTTTTCAACAATTTTCTGTATCGTTTCTTTGTTAGTTCTAAGCCCAGAAATTCTCCTCTCTTTCAGAAAATCCCCACTTTCTTCTACTGGTACACATCCACTCTTTAATTCATGTGGAGGTGGATTTGGAGGTGCAGGTCATTAACCACCTGACTGGCCCAGGCCACCTGCTAAGTAAGGCATTCTGTCTCACTGATCTGCGATGTCTTTTCTCAACATTCTGGAAAGCACATGAGAGTAAACACTAACATGAGATAAAATGAGGCGAGCCTTCATTAATATCAGATCAGCCAAAGCTTACAGGCAATGCTTAAACACAATAGTGCCCTTAGCTTCGAGCCCTCCCACTGGAATCAGCACCAGCTCGAGTGCTCCTGGGAGGGAGGTCTGCCTGCAGCCTAGAGCTCCGATGCTATCGACAAAGGCCGGACGCCCTTTCCAAGGGCAAAGAATCCGGGTTCCTCCCGCTCCCCCTTTCCACGACGTTCTGTGGCTGGAACTTTGCTGAGTGTGTTGAGGAGACTCCCCATCCACAGGCTGCCACTTCACAGAGGACAGCCGGGTGGCATGACCGATCGGCAAGCACGCTCCTGAACCCCAAGCTCTCTGTGACCGGCGGGGCGGTGAGAGACGCCGACTTTGTCCCTCCCAGAGAAGCAGTGCATCTGCACAGGAAACACTCACGAGAAATCCTCCGGTGCCCACGTTCCTGGTGAGCGTCAGGCCGAGGCTCATGTTGGTTTTCATCTCGGTGACATTGGGGATGCTTATGGAAGCTATCGAAGGGGAAAAAAGTAAATAGTGACTATTTCCGTACTTATTGAAAGTTATTTTTTAAAAACATCCAAGCCCACTCAGGTGTATTTGTAGGGTTGAATTTAGGGTCACAGAGCCAGACGCTCAGGTAGAAGGTCAAGGGCGGAGAAACCAGAGGCCTTTGGAGACCGCTGCTCACCTGCCCACAGGAGGTGTGTACAGGTGTCTGTTACCAGGGGTGGGGGCTGGAGCGGGCAAAATGGATTGGCGTTTAAATTTAACGTTGGTGAAGTGCCGGCCAAACAAAACACGGCCCAGGACACGGTTTGGCCTCCAGTTTGCCACCCCTACTCTTTTCAAGGTCACGATGACTCTATCTAATGCTTCATCCTGGATCAGGAAAAACACCCGTGAAGTGCTGTGAGATCCTGCTCTGCAGGAGACTCTGGCTCACAGCAACAGCGTGAGATTCTGAAAAGGAAACCCTGAGGCCGGCCCTGTCGAATAATAAACACGTCTCTCCAAGCCCCGCCCTGACATCCAACCAGTGCCGGCCCCCTCCCTGGGCTCATCTGCTCTTATGGGACCCTGCAGCTCTCCTCCCCATCATCCCTGATGCGTGCCACGGTCCCTCAGCCCTCACGCCCCAGGGCGACTGATTTAAAACTCGACTGTCCTGCTCAAGCCTCCGAACTCAGCCCAAGTCCCATCCCTGTCTGTGCACGTGTCCCCTGCAGAAAAGATGATCACACTTGAACTGCAAACTCCTCCCTGTTCACTGAAGGGTCGCTCCAGGGCCCCACTTTGCTTGGTTTCTGGAGAGGGGAGCGGTCTGTCTAGGGTTCACTACCCAGCGCCTTAGCTCCGCCCAGTTACTCTGCTCTCCACTCATGGTCACCCCCTTCTTCCCGCCTCCTTCCCCTGTCCTGACAAACAGGATCATCTTTTCATTAAAAAGATCTTTTCTTAACCCCGCTTAACCCCATCGGACTGTTTTCCTAACTCTCCTCACCACTCAGCTTGTGCAAACCGAAGTCCACCCTCACTCCTCACCCCTGTTCGCCACATACCTGCCCCTCCACACTTCCTCACCTGCGTTCCCCGTCAACCCTGTCAGCTTGTCCTCCAGACAAGATGCAAAATATGACGATATGGAATGCAGGAGGAGAAATAATACAGCTTCTATGTGTACATTTTTATTCTTTTAAATTCAGCACTTTTATTTAGGAAGATAATGTGCCAGGACATGTATATAATTAAAAACAATTATATACAAAGTGTTCAAAAGTTAGAGGTAACATGCAACATGAGGGGTAAGAGAATAAGACCCTTGAGCACCCATGTCTGGTACATGTTTTTAGTACCTACACACGTCATATGTGTTTTCACCACGGTGAGTGTTGAAAATGCCCGCAGAGCCCTGGCCATGATCCCCAACACGCGGCTTAAATAAGATGACCATCTGCATTCGGTGGTCGTGCCCTCCACCTCCAGCGTTTGACACCAGTGACACTTATCCACTTCACTGAAAATGGGCTTACTGAGTCCCCGCGGCCTGCCAGACACTGTGCAGGGCACTGCGTAGACAGAGGGGTGTCAGAGCTCCCCTGCCTGTGCCCAAGTCCCGGTCTCTCCTGGCTTCGAATCTCTCCTTCCCCTAAAAGATCCCCACAGCGCTGCGTCTCCCTGACCCGCACCTCGGTTCTGCACGGCTCCAACTCCCCTCTGCCGAGTCTTCTGATCGGTGAAAATGACCAAACTGAGTAATTTTCACTTGCATCAGGAAGTGCAGGGTAGAAGCGTGACTCATGTAGGTTTTCAGTCACTTTGGGGAACTTTTTGCATTAATAGAAAGCATCTGAGATGTGAGCGGTAAACGGTAATCCCAAAGGTTACAGGTAATTCCCAGCCGTGAACATTTTGACTAGAATGACATCATGTGGACACAGCCCCTCCGAGGTCAGTCCTAGGACTGACATCGCTACACTTTGAGGTTTGTTTGAGGAGAGAGAGGTGTGCGCAGCCTCAGATGTCTGTCAATAATCAGCAAAATAACCCTAAATATCGGGGGGAATTGGTTCGCACTCTGGGGGGGGGGGAGATGGAGGGTCCGGGGGCTGTGGGTCTCCCACACATTGTATCAGATCAGGACTTCAAAGCATGTTGGAAATTTGGATGCAACCGGGCCCCATATAACTGGAAAAAGAGAAATACAGGCGGTCCTGCCTGGTGCCACTCAGTGGGTTGGGCGTTGTCCCCCAAACCAAAAGGTCCCTAGTTTCATTTCCCAGTCCGGGCACAGGCCTGGGTTACAGACCAGGTCCCTGGCTGGGGTGCGCACAGAGGCAACCGATCCATGTTCCCTTACATATCCATGTTTCTCTCTCCCTTCCCCTCTCTCTAAAAATAAATAAATATATAAAATCCTTAAAAAAAAAAAAAAAGAAATACAGGCCAAAAAAAGCCACCTGTATTTCTTTCAGACAGAACTACGATTGGATCTATTATTTTTCAATCGTGTCTGTCACAAGACAGCTTTTGTTATCTGTAAAAAAATCGCGTTGCTCATGAGAACTTACTTTGCAAATTGAGCTTTTCACAGGTCGCAGCGGGCTGACCGACAGGACATCGGTACACGTCTCCCATCCGGTTCTCAGGGAAGCCGCCCCAAGGGGACCCGACCAGCAACCTAAACACAGGATTTTTTTTTCATTAGAGCTGAAATGGTAGCTAATGTTTCTTCAGGGGAAAACTGACCACAAAACCGTGGGAAAACACATTCACCGCAATTTCCGTGTGTGCTTAGTGGACAGCTCTTCTGTGTTCAGCTATAACTGGACCCGTTTCCCTAACCCCAACCCCAACCTCTTGGCTGACCTCGAGGCTGTCTGGCCCCAGCCTCCTGGGAGGTCTCTCCAACATGGAGCTGACCAAGGGAAGCCCGGCGCACGCCACCTACGTCAGCCAAGAATGTCATTTGTGAGTTGTCTAGTAGCTACGTTAATAAACTAAAAAGCCACACATGACATCAAATAATATACTTTAACCCAGTATACCCAAACTAGCATTATTGACGAGTTACTTGACATTTGAGTTGTTCCACAGAAAGTCTCCGAAATTCACGGTGCACTTCGTACTCAGCGCACGCATCCGTAGAGACAGGGAACATTTTGGGTGCTAGTAGCTAGTGGCTGTCTTGCAGACAGTCCCACCCTAAAGAAGGAATCGGTGTTAAATCCAAAAGCAAAAACTCCTGTTTGTCAGGTGCTCTCTGCGCCCTAAGAACTTTCATGGTATTTATGGAGATGAGTTATGGAAATGGCTTTGTGTGGATTGTTTCTGTAAGTGGATCCTTAGCAAAAAAACAAAACAAAAAACAGAACAGCCATGTTTACAGCCAGAACACAGGATACGGGGTCTGCAGCTGGCGCTCACACTCGCCCTCGGGCTGGTTTCACTTCCCTCCGAGCGTCACCAACCAGAGCCCACAGCTTCCCTGCTGGACCGCGCACCGAGCACCCCCCACAGCAGCAAGGACCGGAAGAGTCCAGGTGACCATCTAATTTCTAGAAACTAGAGCAGGGGAGTTACTTGGCAGCTCCAGTTGCCAAGAAGAGCCTTTAATTCAGCATTTTTTCCTCTGTCACAGTTGGGAAGGATTAGATTGTGTAGCCATGATGCTTACATTCCTTCAGGCTCCCTGTGTATAAATACTCTGTCCTTATCAGTGAAACAAGAGCCCCAGGCTACGTGTTGGAGTGGATCGGAGAGCGCGCAGGCACACTTCTGTTTAGGAAACATAGTGATTCTGTTTAAAACACTCGGCAACGCAAACAGTAATTATACAAGCGAATGAAAAGATGTGAAAATGGTCACAGGATAAGGGTGGGTGTCAGCATTCTTAGCCAAGGGGACGGGGGACACAGATCATTCTGAGAGACAGCTCATGGCTCAGGAATACCTTTCTCTGCTTTTTCATCTTATAGAATTATTCTCTACTATTTCATAGAGCGCACTTGAATACTTTAATTCGATTTACGCTGATTAAGGTTAGAGTTGGAAGAGCTTTCTTCTCATGAGCATAGCACTTAGCACGACTTACCTGTTGAAACGTTAACTGTAGACAGGATCACAATGACACCAGGCACATGGGTGAGGTTTTGACAAAGAAATCTAAATGCTGGCTGTCGGTGGGACTCAGCATTTGCTGGCGTGAAGGGAGCGGCTGGCCCGGAAGTGCGATTCACGCCAGCGCATGTCCCTCCCACGCACCAGGCCTCGGAGGGGAGGGAACTTCGGAGGAGACCTCTGTGCTGTGAAACCATCCTTCAGCGTCGTCTGCTCAAGCACTTGGCCTTCTTCCCACAGGGGGACCTGCCACCACGACCTCTGTGATTTTTGAGGGTTGGACACATCTCAAGCACGAGAAAGACACAGGGAGATAGAAGCGCCCCCCCAACACTCGCCTCCCACGCACCTCCCCGAAATGCCGCCTTCAACTCAGGCACGTTCAACGCAGCTCCTCCGCCCACTCAGAAGCTCTCTGGCTTCCAAACCTCCACGCAGCCCGCGTCCTGCCTGGTGAGATCCGACAGTTTTGTTAAGTCTGCCATTAGGCACCACGGCCTCCAGGACGCCCCCCCGGCTCTTCTGCCTGTGGGCAAGGGGGCCTCGCGGGGGCTTCCACACGGGGGCAGTGTCCCCACGTGCACCGCTGGCCCTGTGGTCCCTGCCTGCCTGCCGACCCTGTTCGGGTGAGGGAGGGTGGGGGCGAGACCGGGCCTGGGCAGTGACGTCGAGGAGCTGCCAGTGGACAAATGAACGACCAAGCAAATGAATGCGGAAAGGAGCGGACGCCGCTACGCTGGTATTTAAAAGGACTCTGCTGGCTGAGGAAACGTTTAGTAGAAAAAAATATTTTTGGCATTATGTATGTATTTATCCTCACCTGAGAACACTTCTTCATTGCTTTGATAGAGAGGGCAAGGATGAGAGAGAAACACTGATTAGCCGCCTCCTGTATACACCGGACCTGGAATCAGAAGTGCCCTGACCAGCAATCGAACCTGCAACTTCTCGGTTGTGGAAGAATACTCCAAGCAGCCAAGCCATACCAGCCAGGGCTTTTAGCTTTAAAAAAATTTTTGTTTTAAATGAAAACTTTCATTCTCTTCTCACCGTTGAAGTTAAAGTTAAAAGAAATTAGAGGTAAACCCAACCGAGCTGACAGGAAAGTGCGCCCCCCAGTGGCTGCCCCGCTGGCTGCCCCCCACGAGCTCCACGTGTCGGCTCTGCAGCGCGGGGCTGGGGGGGAGTCTGCAGGGGACAAATGGCCCATCCCAGCAAGAAGCAGCAGGGGGAAGGGCTGCCCCGCCCCGGGCCTGCCAGGAGTGGGTGTCAACTCCAGCAAGTCTTAGGAAACCGGGCACCGGGCGTGAGGCCTTCCTAGCAGGATCCGATTTCATGTGCACGCAGCTGGTGAGAGCCACGTGGAACCGCTTCCAAAGCCCAAACTCTTCGCCCTCTGTCATTCCCCCTTCCTCCCCGGGGCTACGGGGCCTGGCCTGGGCCCAGACTGCGAAAACTATGTGAACGGCTGGGCAGCGTTCCAGAACCTTCTAGGAGTTGAACCACAGAGCCGCGGCCGCGTGCTCCGGGAGACACAGCGGCCCAGTTTATCCTGCGGGCCCCGTCCACCCTGGGTGGGGGCAGGCTGTGCTGGCCACACGCACGGAAGAGCAGGCGATGTCCGACAGACCGGTGCGGTCGGGCTGTTCCCCTTCCACCTCCCACAGCCCAGAGGAGCCACCCAGGGGCGAAGGTTGCGTTTCTCATCTAAAACTTACCCACGTGCCCCTCAGAGCTTTCGGCAGGGAAGCCACACCACTGGCTACCTGTTCTCTCGCCGACTACGCTCCAAGGCCACCTGCTGCTTCCCGCCGACTAGGCATCTCCTGGGCACCCCCGTCCCCTGCACCTTGTGGGGGAGTCGGGCTGCCGACCTCTCTGCAGGCCCTGAGGGCGTGGCCCCCAGGCACCGCTCAGCGTGTGCCACATCATGGCGAGATTCGAAAGGCCTCAACATTCTCTCAAAGAACCATGTAGATCTGCCAGCAGTATGCCATTTGCTTTTACTTTTATTATTTTCATTGTTTTAGAGAGAGGGGAGGAGAGGGAGGGGACAGAGGGAAACACTGATGTGAGCCGGAAACATCGACTGGCTCCCTCTCATACGTGTGCTCACTGGGGACCAAACCTGCAACCCAGGCACATGCCCTGACCAGGAATGGAACCCGTGACCTTTTGATTTGCGGGACGACAGCCAACCCACTGAGCCACACCGGTCAGGGCTGTATTATGCCATTTAAACTCTCAACACGGACACTAGGAAACAGTGGACAACCAGACCACTTTGGTGGCCAGCGAAGAACAACAAGGGGTCCTCGTCACGTGGGGCACAGCCTTCAAATATCGGGACCCACACCGGTCAGCAGCCTGCGGGTCAAGCCAGCGACCACAGAGGAAGTCCCCCGAACCACCGCCCCCTCCTTCACTGGCGCTGTCCCCAGCAGCCTCCCCTCGTCACTTCCACGAGGGGGCCTGACATCAGCAGTGACCAGTCCGACGGAACTGTGACATTCTTAAACTAATCAGACAGGTGGAGCAGGGAGGCTGGTATACTTTCCACAAATATTGTGGTCAACTGTAGCAGGAGAAGCCACGTTCGGGGAGGAGGTGACGAAGGTGGCGAGGGAGTGGGCAAACCCTGCGAAATGAGTCAGGGTCTCTCCTGAGCCACGGACCCCACCTTGTAACTGTGTGTGCCAAGTCTCTGACGACACAGGATCCCGAGGTATGAACGCCTCTCCTCCCACAGTGAAAGTGGGAGCTCCTCCAAGACCGATTTAAATAACTCACCATCCAATTATCCCGTGGCAAAATAGTGGTTAGGTAGAGTTCCCAAACAGAGCCAATTTGCCCACCTCCACTGGAATCCAAAATTCCTTCTTCGGTTGGTAAACAGTACTTATGGTGGCCCAGGCTGCTTCCAACCCACCATGCAGGGGCGGTTACAAATGCCTGCCTTCGGTCTGTGAGCCTCCGAGCTCGGCAAGCATTCCTTCAATATTGGCGATTTTTCTGAGGATTGATTACTGACAGACATCAAGAGTAGGGCAAAACACGTCTTCTTTGATTCAGCAAACGCTTGCAGAGATCCTACGGGCTGGCGTTCTGCACAACTCCAGGGGGCACCCTTCCCACAAAAATGGCAAGTCCTGGCCGTGGGCAGGGTACAGCCTGGGAGGGTTCCAGACCGGAGTCAAAGCCCTGGGGGTAACGAGTGGGTCAGAGCTCTCCAGCCTCGTGGAGCTAATTACGTTCCAGCGGGGGGGAGAGAGAGAACAAATTTAATGTGTGAGTGACGCACGGGGTGATGGTGATCGGCGCTCCGTGGAAAACTGAGCAGGATGGAGTTAGGAGTGCGGGGCACTGGAATTCCTATGAGAATGGTCAAGGACGGTCTCACGGAGAAGGTGACATTCAGGCAAAGATTCGGAGGAGCTCGAGGACTAACCCACAGGTGCTGGAGGAAGAGCGGACCAGGCTGTGGCTGGGCCGGCATGTGGGCTGGGGGACGCGGGGGCGGGGGATGAAGTCAGGTGGGAGGTGGGGCGAGGACTCCGCTTC